AAGTATAATCAATATAAAACCGCTAAGCTCCTGCAGTAGTTTGTTCTTTTCGGGATTTTTGCGAGATTGTTACTTAAATCATTAAATCAACTAACGTTGCTACCTACGAGACAACTACCCACTCCAAGACAACTATCCACTACTACCCACTCCAAGACAACTATCCACTACTATCCACTACAAGACAACTACCCACTTCTACCCACTCCAAGACAACTATCCACTTCTACCCACTCCAAGACAACTACCCACTTCTACCCACTCCAAGACAACTACCCACTTCTACCCACTCCAAGACAACTACCCACTTCTACCCACTCCAAGACAACTATCCACTACTACCCACTCCAAGACAACTACCCACTACTACCCACTCCAAGACAACTACCCACTTCTACCCACTCCAAGACAACTATCCACTTCTACCCACTCCAAGACAACTATCCACTACTACCCACTCCAAGACAACTACCCACTACTACCCACTCCAAGACAACTACCCACTACTACCCACTCCAAGACAACTATCCACTACTATCCACTCCAAGACAACTATCCACTACTACCCACTCAAAGACAACTATTCACTACTACCCACTCCAAGACAACTATCCACAACTACCCACTCCAAGACAACTACCCACTTCAACCCACTCCAAGACAACTATTCACTTCTACCCACTACAAGACAACTACCCACTACTACCCACCCCAAGACACCTATCCACTACTACCCACTCCAAGACAACTACCCACTACTACCCACTCCAAGACAACTACCCACTACTACCCACTCCAAGACAACTATCCACAACTACCCACTCCAAGACAACTACCCACTTCTACCCACTCCAAGACAACTATTCACTTCTACCCACTCCAAGACAACTACCCACTACTACCCACTCCAAGACAACTACCCACTACTACCCACTCCAAGACAACTATCCACTACTATCCACTACAAGACAACTACCCACTACTACCCACCCCAAGACAACTATCCACTACTACCCACTCCAAGACAACTACCCACTTCTACCCACTCCAAGACAACTACCCACTACTACCCACTCCAAGACAACTACCCACTACTACCCACTCCAAGACAACTATCCACTACTATCCACTACAAGACAACTACCCACTTCTACCCACCCCAAGACAACTATCCACTACTACCCACTCCAAGACAACTACCCACTACTACCCACTCCAAGACAACTACCCACTACTACCCACTCCAAGACAACTACCCACTACTACCCACTCCAAGACAACTATCCACTACTACCCACTCCAAGACAACTACCCACTACTACCCACCCCAAGACAACTATCCACTACTACCCACTCCAAGACAACTACCCACTACTACCCACTCCAAGACAACTACCCACTACTACCCACTCCAAGACAACTATCCACTACTATCCACTCCAAGACAACTACCCACTACTACCCACTCCAAGACAACTACCCACTACTACCCACCCCAAGACAACTATCCACTACTACCCACTCCAAGACAACTACCCACTACTACCCACTACTACCCACCCACTCCAAGACAACTACTCCACTACTACCCACTCCAAGACAACTATCCACTACTACCCACTCCAAGACAACTACCCACTACTACCCACTCCAAGACAACTACCCACTACTACCCACTCCAAGACAACTATCCACTACTACCCACTCCAAGACAACTACCCACTACTACCCACTCCAAGACAACTACCCACTACTACCCACTCCAAGACAACTACCCACTACTACCCACTCCAAGACAACTACCCACTACTACCCACTCCAAGACAACTATCCACTACTATCCACTCCAAGACAACTACCCACTACTACCCACTCCAAGACAACTACCCACTACTACCCACTCCAAGACAACTACCCACTACTACCCACTCCAAGACAACTACCCACTACTACCCACTCCAAGACAACTACCCACTACTACCCACTCCAAGACAACTATCCACTACTACCCACTCCAAGACAACTACCCACTACTACCCACTCCAAGACAACTACCCACTACTACCCACTCCAAGACAACTATCCACTACTACCCACTCCAAGACAACTATCCACTACTACCCACTCCAAGACAACTACCCACTACTACCCACTCCAAGACAACTACCCACTACTACCCACTCCAAGACAACTACCCACTACTACCCACTCCAAGACAACTATCCACTACTACCCACTCCAAGACAACTACCCACTACTACCCACTCCAAGACAACTACCCACTACTACCCACTCCAAGACAACTATCCACTACTATTCACTCCAAGACAACTACCCACTACTACCCACTCCAAGACAACTACCCACTACTACCCACTCCAAGACAACTACCCACTACTTCCCACTCCAAGACAACTACCCACTACTACCCACTCCAAGACAACTATCCACTACTACCCACTCCAAGACAACTACCCACTACTACCCACTCCAAGACAACTACCCACTACTACCCACTCCAAGACAACTACCCACTACTACCCACTCCAAGACAACTATCCACTACTATCCACTCCAAGACAACTACCCACTACTACCCACTCCAAGACAACTACCCACTACTACCCACTCCAAGACAACTATCCACTACTATACACTCCAAGACAACTACCCACTACTACCCACTCCAAGACAACTACCCACTACTACCCACTCCAAGACAACTATCCACACTACCCACTACTACCCCCACTCCAAGACAACTACCCACTACTACCCACTCCAAGACAACTATCCACTACTACCCACTCCAAGACAACTACCCACTACTACCCACTCCAAGACAACTACCCACTACTACCCACTCCAAGACAACTACCCACTACTACCCACTCCAAGACAACTATCCACTACTACCCACTCCAAGACAACTACCCCACTACCCACTCCAAGACAACTACTACTACCCACTCCAAGACAACTACCCACTACTACCCACTCCAAGACAACTACCCACTTCTACCCACTCCAAGACAACTACCCACTACTACCCACTCCAAGACAACTACCCACTACTACCCACTCCAAGACAACTACCCACTACTACCCACCCCAAGACAACTATCCACTACTACCCACTCCAAGACAACTATCCACTACTACCCACACCAAGACAACTAACCACTACTACCCACTCCAAGACAACTACCCACTACTACCCACTCCAAGACAACTACCCACTACTACCCACTCCAAGACAACTACCCACTACTACCCACTCCAAGACAACTACCCACTACTACCCACTCCAAGACAACTACCCACTACTACCCACTCCAAGACAACTATCCACTACTACCCACTCCAAGACAACTATCCACAACTACCCACTCCAAGACAACACAACTACCCACTCCAAGACAACTATCCACTACTACCCACTCCCACTCCCACTCCAAGACAACTACCCACTACTACCCACTCCAAGACAACTACCCACTACTACCCACTCCAAGACAACTACCCACTACTACCCACCCACTCCAAGACAACTACCCACTACTACCCACTCCAAGACAACTACCCACTACTACCCACTCCAAGACAACTACCCACTACTACCCACTCCAAGACAACTATCCACAACTACCCACTCCAAGACAACTACCCACTTCTACCCACTCCAAGACAACTACCCACTACTACCCACTCCAAGACAACTACCCACTTCTACCCACTCCAAGACCACTACCCACTTCTACCCACTCCAAGACTACTACCCACTCCAAGACAACTATCCACTACTATCCACTCCAAGACAACTACCCACTACTACCCACTCCAAGACAACTATCCACTACTATCCACTCCAAGACAACTACTCACTTCTACCCACTCCAAGACAACTACCCACTTCTACCCACTCCAAGACAACTACCCACTAATTCCCACTCCAAGATAATTATATAATGTTAAATGCGCTAGACAGGATCGACATGATGGAGCAGCATCACATCTTCACTTGGATGAATGTCTCCAAAAAATCTACTACATTTGTGTAATATGTTGCACTGTTAAAAAAATATATAAATCATGTGGTTGTACTTGTATGATATATCAACCAATGTATGATATGTATCTTATGTCAATGATATATATTGTGTGTAAAGTGTATTACGAGAATAATGTAAAATTATCAGTAGTGTGGAAATGAAATGTTACATTATTCTATGTATTTAATTTTAACAAATGTGTATTATGAAATGTAATATTATGGGATTATTTCACGACAACAAATGAGAAATCCGTATCATGAATTCATATCTCCTATCATATCAGTTTATTAATTTCAAAGGAATGATTTCAAAATTTGATTTAAAAGCTCATTTACAGTATAATGCCTCGGGTAATAGATCTAGATAGCACAGGCAAAAACACCGGTACATTAAATAAGGTGAAATATATAGTGACCATGGAATTGATTATAGCTTGTTCGCTATTGCCTTCATCAGAGACATATACAACATATATAAAAATATGTGATATGTACGCCTCTGCCTTTATTAACATCTTTCTTTGTGTTATAAAAAGTGGGCGAATCGTGAACCGCCCGCGATATGTTGAAGTCCGTGTTCCTTTTATACTCTACACCAAGGACATATATGTATGATAATAAACTTGTTAATACACGAATATAGTAAACGTTACTGTAACATTTGTTACGATAATAATATCTCTTAACTTAATACAGTCGATACTTTTATTGCAATGCACGTGTATACGTTGTACTTAGGTAATATTAATAAATTAGTTAAGTTTGAACCATTAATAATGGTAAACCATGGACTTAGATGTAATTCTATATGTATAGTCCGTAAGTATATCGAAATTTGGAAGTTTTTTTTCTAAATCCGGAATAATCGTTCCCATCCAAGACCCGACATTCTAAATTTAGTTTGATCGAAACCAACCTTGACCTTCAATAATAAACAAAGTCGAAAATGGCGGATGAAGCTGCAAGCTCGGAAGCGGGAACGGGTAGTATTATGTCTCGATTTGTGTCAGAACTTTTGGGAAGTCCATTGAACATTGTATTACTTGGAATATGTGCATTTTTATTATATAAAATTGTGTCTAGTAACCGGCAGTCTGCTGCACCACCACCTCAAGAACCTGAATTACCAAGGATGAAGAAAAGGGACTTTACACTGGAACAGTTGCGTGAATATGACGGGAAAGGTCAAGACGGTAGGGTTTTGGTAGCAGTTAACACGAAAGTGTTTGATGTGACGAGAGGGAAGCGCTTTTATGGACCAGGTGAGATAATAGTTTTTTTTTTCACAAAAAGTGAATCAGGCCCTTACGTCACCAACGAAATTATGCCGGTTCACGTGTGACAGGCATGGCCACCGGTTTGATAAAAGCTAGGCTACCGTTGACCTCCTTATATGAGAATTGTTTTCAATCGTTTTTTATTCTTGTACTGTGTCAAATAAATATAACTATCAAGTAACACATCTTCTTGAAAACTAATGCGAAAACTGTGTAACATTCAGATCCGTTGATTGTGTTATCGTTATCTGTAATTTTATGATTGCTATCTTAGATCTGGATTTATATCTGGATCTGATTTTTTCTGATTTTATGGTTGGTCGCTCCATTTTAGACTAGAAATCATAATGCAGTTTATACCCTACTAATGTCAAACATTGAAACATTGAAATATTTCATTGTCACATGTATGCAACTATCTAATGTAACTTATTACGGTAGTATAAGTTCATAAACATGAAATTAAAAAAATTGTTGTCATATTTCATCAAAGTAAAACAGAAAAAACGTACACTCCCAACTAAGATACAGATATCAAGTTTCAAATTTACCGTGTGAAGTACAATCGTTCATCAGAGAGCATCTTAACAATTTATATCCCAGTCAGTTTAGTTGGGTTATGATCACTACCCTGAAGTATGACCTTGCCATTGCCGTTGATCTAAACATTAATTACAATAAAATGGGAAACATAGGATCCCAGAGTATATTTCAGCTATCATTTTGATACATTTCTGTATGGACCCACACTTGTGTGAAGTGCATCATAAGAAGGCAAGCTGCTATAAGATCTATTCAGATCATAAGAACACTTCAGTATACATGGGTCAACACCATATGCATGAAGTCTGTGCTTAAGTTTAATCCAGTTTCAACATATATATACATGTATATATTAAATGATGTATCAAATGTTTTGCCCATCCTCAAATTTTATTCTTTTATGTTACTATCAGTTAACTCTTTATGAATCAAAGTTTTAGAAATAAAAATATTTGATGTATCAAATTTTTGTAACAGACATTTATCCAGGATAACTCGGTCATGTGCAATGATACCTGATTATTCAAAACTTGTATTTTTGTTCTGCAACAGAATTTCACACATTTTGACAACGGGAGCTACCAGACAAAGGGATTACAAAATATATTGCACTGTTATTTACTCTGTGTTACAAGGTTAATGGCTGTGCATAGATTAGAGTTTAATTGCTCACTCATACAAGTTATGTGATGTTTGCCATTGCAAAAATAGTGTAAAGTGAGGTCTAATTTTCAGAATTGTAAAAACATAGAAAGTAAATCTTGAACACTTAATATGACGAGTCAGGGTTAAGGGTTATCTCCATCTGAACAACTAACCAGAAGAAGTATGATGTCATTTCATATATTTATTTTCAAAGACAAAGCATAGAGATTGAGATTCCTAAAACAATCCAAATAATCTATTACAATACATTGTAAAACTTGTCTAACTCACACTTACACACAACACACAGTGACATTCACATTCACGTTAGTGACAAAACATATTTGCTCAGTAGTACAGATACAAAAATAAATTTAATTCCACTATGTAGAAGACTGCAAAATAAGATAATTGAATTGCTTCATTGGATTAGATAGATAAATTAATTTTATCAATAATTTGTATAGATATAAACAGTTGGCAATATAAATCAAAGACTTACCCCATTTGGGGCAGGACAGACATGAAAGTAATGAGAAATATCAAAATTTCGGTTCAAGCCCAAAATCAGAAGTAAGAAGGTTAAGCAGAAAAAATGAAGAAAGAATTTAAATTGATGAAAGAATTTAACAGTACATGTCACAAGTCAAGTGGTCAGTCATCGTCCAGGACATGTACAACACATAACTAACAATAGTATGCCTGTTCCAGGCCTACTAGATATGTACACCAGACAAAACAAAAGTAACGGACGCTTACATGAATGAACATGAAACAAATATAGTGTAATGAATACAAACAATCATTGGTATTACAGGATGTCACATATATACATGTAGATAAAAAAATCCAACAAAATGTCACTGTTACACACTGTACATCATATTGCTTTGCCTGTTATGTCATGAGTTGTTTAACAATCTTCCTATCTATGATAATTCATCATGATATACTAAAAAAGTTTGTATTAGTATGATACCACACTGCGCTGCACAAATAGAAAGGTAATATAATCCCTCTTTCAAGGACAAATCCAGTCATTGGATCATCACATATTTAGATCATGATGTTAAACTATTGATTGTATGACTGGACACATGTGCACTGTTATGGAGTGATTTAGGTTAAACTGAACAATAGTAATATCATAAATACATAAATGTCTATGTAATTAATTTCTATTTTATATTTGATTTACTAAGCTATTTCATTTAAAAGTCACTATAATGACTGACAGATATAGACTCTTGTTAAAGACATACTTGAAGCTTTGTTATAAGTTAACCATACATTGAAATGAATAAATCACAGAAATGTAATTTAAAGCAACAGCTATTTATTTAAAAAAAAAAAATTTTTGTTGAACATGCATGTCTTTATTTCCAAGTACTGGTAGATGTATATCTCTATGTGTTGGGAAAAAACTTATATGTGGCCTTCAAGTCTACATTTTTGTGCTATTACAGGGGGACCATATGCAGTATTTGCAGGACGAGATGCATCAAGAGGACTGGCTTTATTTTCATTGACAGAGGAAGCCATCAAAGATGAATTTGATGATCTATCAGACCTAACCTCGATGCAGATGGAGAGTGTAAGAGAATGGGAAATGCAATTTACAGGTATTTATTGGCATTTTATTACGTAAATACCTGATAAAATATAAAATAAGAATGTAAATATGTTTGATGATGTCAGATTTAGAGATAGGATGTTTTTGTTAATCAGTTATTATGCTTTATGTAAATTTTTTATTTAAATCATCATACAGACTGACTGCAGGGAAATAATCCAAGATTATTAATAGACAGTTATCTTGGAAATTAAGAATTAGGTTGTGTTAGAGGTATAGACAATAGGTACACATTTATCAAAAACTTCAAAAATGATAGCTGTCTTGAATTTCATTTATGAAAACTTCAAAAAGGGTCTCTCTCAAATTTTACTTGGCCACTAACACATTTTCTGGTTGTACATACTTACAATTTTGTATTGTGAAATTAATTTGAAACAAGATTGGCCAACATGCAATTGTTTTGAATTTAAAAAAATAAATAGAGACTAATGCTTTTTCTCGGCCTGAAATCACACTATTCTCCTTGATCCCTAGTTCATTAGTTGAAGGGAAAATTTTTAAACACATATATTCATTTTTGTTCAAAATTTCTATGGCATACATGTACATATAATTCTTGATTATTACGTGTAAGAGGAAAGAACCAAGAGACACATAATTGAAAAAGATCAAACAATGATCGCATTTAAGTGGGATCTCTTCTTCTTTTTCTTCTTCTGCTTGTTTTGTGAATATCATTTATAATAATATCTGTATACTATGAAATAATTTATGATCTTGTCAATTTTTTATTCGACTTGCTCATGTTATGTTCAGTATTAACCTGCCTAACATGATACATTTACCACTCATTTGTCTAGTAATTGACATTTGTTATAAACAGTATATATAATAAAAATGTATATATAGAAACCCACTTTGAACATTGGTTTTGAGCTTGAAGTACACAAGGCATTATTTCGTGGTTTAAAAAAATAGAAAATGTCTATGGATATCTAAACTTTGAAATGTAGGTTTATTTATAGACACATCAACCTTCTCAAACCTTCCTTTCAGGCATTCATCTTTGGAAAAAAATAAGAATGTACATGTAATTTTTCTTTGACCCCTTTAACTGTTCTGATCACCACCAGTTTATAAACTTTCCCAAATTTGTTATTCACATTGTACATGTTCTTATTGATATTCTAGTTATTGAGCTTAAGAAAATGATAACAAATTAAAGTAATTTTCACACTGAAACAGGAAATTAACACAAGCAGGAAATGAGCACAAAGAGGAAATTAATCCGATCAAGACTTACTTAAAACAGGATCAGATACAGATACCAAGAGGCCCAACAGGCCGGCATCATATATTCCCTGGTATATCTGTAATGGAATAGTTTTCACATATAAATATACAAGGAGGTTTTTTAACCGATCTGTGTTTCCCTTAAACTAGGTCGACTCAAATTAAAAAGTGAATATTTCCATCTTCAGTTTTCATTGATTACTAGATAAGTAAATGGTTTTATAAACAAATGATGAAACACCAATTGCATAATTGTAATCAATGAATGGCTTATATGTATTTAACAAATTCTATATTCTTAAATTGATTGAGAATTCAAGTTTCCTTGAAAAAGAATATGTTGTATATTTCAGTCATGTTTTCCTTTTGCAGTTGTATTTAAGAACCCAAAAAAGCTTTAGATATTGTGAATGAAAGAAACATGTTACCAGTTGACAGCTATTCTTAAATGAAATGTCATTGGTTCTGTCCGGTGCAGTGTTATCAATTTGTAAACATTAAGCAAAGATTTTCCTATAGAGCAGTTTACTATTTTTCAGAGTATAAGGTATTTTCTCTTTATCATTTCCAGAAAAATATGACTACATCGGTAGATTGCTGCGACCAGGTGAGGAACCAAGAGATTACACAGACACAGAGGATGAACCTTCATCAGAGGAAAAGAAAGAGACAGACAAGAAAAAGGACTGATACCACCATCGCTTATCAGATATGGTACAAGAGAAATCGCTCTTCATGGTGTTCAATGTATTTTGTCCACTTTTTCGGCATCTGGTGTCAGACTGATGAAATTCCTCCTCTGCATACTAGGCTGGCTATCATTATTGGGCACAAATGCTTTCATTTTTTGTTATTATTGTAGACATACTTCCAAATGAGTGCACCACTAAAATTATTTACGTGGATGTTAAGAAATACTACATTTAGTTACTTTTCTTCTGATTAATTGAATTTCAGTCTTAACCATGGTATGTAATGTAATTTATAATTTTTTGGTCACAATTTATATTTTTTGTGTGAAATTATTTACATATATATATATAATCAACTTTAAGAAGATAATATTCAGAAAAGAATAGCGCATCAAAAAAGGAATTGCTTACTGTTTCACTAGTTTGAAAAAAAATTTGACAGGAGATATATTTTTTTTAAATGTCCTACTTCATTTGTTTATAACAATAGGCGTAGAGGAATATAGGTCAGAATGAACCAGAAGCCTTCATGTCAGTCAGTTTTATCATGGTGCCAATATCATCCTTTTCATCAACCCCATTGCTATCATCACATTTATCATGTTATCATGAGGTCATAATGGTATCTTGTAACATTGAATATTCTAGATTTGTTTTCTCTTGTTATATTTTGCTAGCTTTAGAATTCATTTGCTTGGGCCATGAAATGGAACCATATGCTTGTTTCTATAAAAAAACAAATTATTTGTTATTATTTTTGTACGGTATAAAAGTGATTGATTGAAAAACAAAAGATAAATTAAAACATACAGGAATGAAAAGCAAATGAAAATTGCAATGTAAGGAAACTGAAGTTATATGTGTTATTTATTGTGATGAAAAATATCCCTGTAACATTTTGTTCTTGTAAACCAGCATCCGACTGATAACAATTCAAAATAAATTATGAAAATACTGTTTACCATCAGTTTGAGTTTTTTAAAGTGGAAAATTGGATGACAGTTCAAGTTTCTTATTCTTTTCAAAGACAGGAAGTATTGTCAGTGTGTTCAGTTTGGTATAATTCTTAATTTTGATGTAAGTCACAATAAAATATTTATGCTTAGGTTCACATCAAGCTTCCACTTGTTCTTGATCATTAAGGATTCTTAGGACTAAAGTTTGATCTGAAAATCTTTTCTTAACACTAAATCAAGTGATTAAAATTTCAAATTTGCAATCAATTTGATTGATTGCTTAAGATGTAAGAGATACCTGTATAAAAAGACATTGTTCAACATCCTTTTTTTAATCAGATTCTGTGTTTGGATATAGCCATGATCCTATAGAAGTCATGCATGCACTAGTCATTCAAATAATTTTTTTTTATAATTGGTGATAAAGATCAATATACTTAATGTTAACTTTTTTTAGTACATATAATTTGATTTTTTTAATTTTCAGGATTTGATAAAGAGCATTAAAATCACAGTTACAAATTATTATTAAACAGATATTTCAAAAGCTTATATTAAACATTATACCAAAGTTTCACTTTTTTATATACAATCTATTTAACAAATTATTACTTGTGTATTGGTAACCAATAATATCAATACATACTGTATTAACATTAAGTATTTTCTATCCCACTGCTGCTTGTTGTCATTTGTCACTTCAGTTACTGCTGATCATGTAGCTTGTGAAGATGTCTTGTTACTTTTTGTCAGCGATATGGCTGTAGTCCTGGGCACAAGTTACAACAAAATTACTGAGAAACAAAAAGAGCAATTTGGTAATTACTGCTTATCTGTTATAATTGGATAAGGTGTCACATATCTGTTCAGGTTCAAGAATATCAACAGGGTTGCCATGGAGTATTTTATAAATGTTGTCCTATTGCAATTTAGCAGGGTCCTTCTGTATAGATTGAATGGACTAATTTGTGACCAAGATATTTTTATCTGTAATTGAGTGTTCTTTTTTGCTTGACATTATCTTATGGATAAACATGAATAGCTAAGATTGTGGAAAACTAACTTTGATATCACATTAACTGAGTTTAATCAATACAAATCTTGTATTGGCAATTTTACAGATTTAATTTTTGTCCAAGATATTTTTCGATATTTTGCTAAATTTGAATCCATCACTTCCCATAAGCATAGAATCTTGATACGTGTATGCATTTGAATGACTACATTTATATTTTGTACATGTTCAAGTAGATTAATATTGTAACTAACAACATGCCATGAGTATCATATTACAGGGCCTATAATTGTATCCTGAAACATGCATGTAAGGGAAGTAACTCATCGTACAGTTTGGTACTATAAATTATTGTAAACTGTATTATAGTGTAGACAAATGTACATACCATATTTACATGTATTGTTGAAAGATGCATCATATGTCCCTTATCACTGTGCCTATCATGCCATGTTTTCTACTGTTTAATTGTCTAGAGTGGCCACATAATACGTCCATAACTTGAATCAGAAGTCATTTTAAAAAATTTGAAAACTCATTTATCCTGTTGTTGTTCTAAGAAGGTATGTTCAAACATTGTCATAGAGTGGTTGAAAAAATCTTACTCCAATTTTGAAATGATAGGAATGGAAGATACGTGTACATCATTTCTTTTCATATCTCTATGTTATATTCTTTTATAATCAGTTTGTGAATTTCATTCTTTGCTGTTGTGATAAACTTAATAAGAGGTGTATGTTTGATAACAATTGCAATTTTCAAGACAGAAAAATCAAAATGATTAAGATTTACCAGTTATACAAAGTAAAGAAGTATTATGAATTATGATGAATAATGCTTTGTCATTATGCCGTAGTAGTTTCAAATGGTAAATGATTAATTTGATGTTTAGGTTAGCTGAGAAAATGCATTCAGTACATATTTTATCAAAGAATAACATTTCTCTTCCTAAAACGTGTGGGACCATGTACAAAAATGTATTTTTTTATTTATTTTTCCCTGTAAGTTTTGTTACACTGTGTTCATGACATTGTGAGTTATGAATTCAAGTTTTAATTTTTAAGTTCGAAAAAGCATGAAATGTAAAACCTGATGTGAATTTTAGTGGAGTTTAAAGTGATTTATTGTAAAAATAATTTGATTTAACCATGATATATTTTATCTTTAGGGTGCTATAATTCAGATATTGGTGAACACTTTCAGGTCCTTATTTTTACAAATGTTGGTATGTGTATATCCTGTTTGATTCGCATACATGCTAAATTCTTTCTTCCAGATTATATACTTTGTACCATACAAAAGGGACAAAACATGGAGTGTTTTAATTTGATGTTAAATTGAAATCCTGTTTTTGTTAAAAGGCGTAAGACACTGGCATAATAAACCATCGGATTGTGTAAATATTTCAGACTGTGTGTACAATGGATAAGCAGTGTATCACAAATTGTATGTACATAACTTGATGTACATTCCTTGTTGATAAGATTGCCCTTTGCCTATCAGCATGGTGAGAAATACTTTTGCCAAAGCCACAATGTATGTCATGTTCCATTGACCCTTTGTTAAGTTGTCTTCACCTCTTCTTTAAGGTAACTTACCATGCATACAGTATACTATATCTGAGAGGTAACAAAATTCTTGTGCAATTATGAAATGTATGCCGATTTTTAAAAAAATTGTGCGTTTTTTTGGCAAGAAGAGTTGATATTCAAAAGTCCAAATTAATTAAAAATCATTAACTAGGCAGTTTATGAGGATCGGTTGATCACACTTTTATTTCTATCTCGAGTATAATACCAACATTTATTTCATTATCCTATCAAAATGGACAACAAGGGCAACAGGCAAATACCGGTATAGATTGTTAAAATGCTATGCTACGAGAATATTTTGTCTGTAGAAAATAATTTATATTTAAAAACACCTGTGTACATTGTAGTCTTGTGTAGATTTAGTACATCTGTAATATATGGTATGGATGATTACTTTGTTAGTCCTATGATTCACAGGGAGGTGTAAACTATATGGAAATTTGAAATGTTTCACATGCTTTACCAGTATTACTTATTGCCAAGCTATTACACGTTTTGTTTAACAGTGCATCTTGCCTTGAATATTTAGAAAATGCTTATAATGCCTCCTGTTTTCAACCCCATTTAAGAAACTATGGTTGATGGCAAGCATATACGCTATTGCCTCCTCCCAAATTCTGAAATCACTGATGATTGCTGTGTATATGATAAACACTAAACAGATACATAGTAATAATAATCTAACTTTTGTATGTAGATATTGATTTACATTTAAAACACATAATATTAATTGTTGAACAAATAACTAGAACATAACAGCAATGTCTTCAATTTACAATATACAACAAAGAATATCATACATTTTAATGGTGTGAAAAGATCCCAAGGACTGATCACCGATAGATAGTTTTGTATAAAAATAATGTATTATTTTTTCGGTGACAATGTGCATTTCTTACCCACCTGCTATCTGACTATTACAGAGCTTTAACGTTTTCAAATGGTTTAAATACTTTGGAACTGATACCATCTAAAGAATCAACAGGTTTATAAATTCATATGCTCTCAATGTTTTCTGTGATTACGTCATTGTATCTGTTTGAAGAGTACTGTGTCGGTATTCCATTTTGATGGGTTTTCAGGTTACCACCTGCAAATGTATCAAAGAGGATATTTGGTAAAGAATAATGAAATACTGATCAGAATCAGACTGGTCTTAAAATGTGTATGAGGGAGGAAATTTCAATAAGTTGTGGTGTTATTAATATTTGTGAATGTACTAAGGTTAACTTCCTTGTCCAACAGCCCATTGTCATTATTTTTGTCAACTAAAAGTTAAAATGACAGTTTGTAAAGTTTGTAGTTGATTAACTTTGTAGCCAGAGTCATTGTACATATTCAATATATATCAATCTTGTATAAAATTGTTAAGATGAACTTGTATTTTTTGGTCATTGATTCAGTAAAAAGTGATTCTTATATTTTGTTTGAGTGTTTTACTTGTAATTAAAAGTTAACTACCTCATTGTACACTGAGGAAATTGTTATTTCTAGTGTGGTTTATGATGCAGGATGTAAAAGGTTTCTGGTTCTACAGCTGACTGATTCACATTCTGGTTTGAGTGTGTATCATCAACAAACAGAAACCTTATTCCAGACTATAGCTGTTTAACCTCTATTAAACCCCCCCACACCCCCCAATCCCCCCCTTTCAGGTATTGTTGCTAGTGACCCAAGTTTAGTTTGATTCCACGAGAGGATGTAACAAGGATCAACTGTCAGAGAACACAATTCCATGGGTACATTGTACTACGGTTTCTTCCCACGTCAATCCCTTACACTCTTCCCAAGACAAGAGTGATTTATATAGGCTGATAGCTTGTTTTGCAATTGTTGTAAAAAAAGTTTTTAAATATTTCAAAGACAATCCAAGGCTAACACATTGTAAAACACAATGTATAAAGCTTGAATTAATGGGCAAAGCCAAAGAGAAGAATATTATGTTGGTAGTAAATGACTTTCACTTGAAGACCAGAAAGAAAAACTTTCTGTATTAGAAAGCAGTTAGTGAAGTTTGAACTTGAAGAGCATTAGGGACCGTGAAAACCAAAAAGCCACCTTCAGTTTGGACTATAGTGACCACTTTTTATGTTGTCATGCAGAACAGTAGATGGGAATCCCCTTGGGAAAAAGTTGTTTTTCAACCTTTATAGAAAATGCCTTGGATATTCAATTGTTACTGGGAGGTAAAAAAAATTAATTCCAATCCCTGTTATTAACAAGTTTATTTAATTTGAAATATTTCAAATTACACATAATAAACTACTTATGATATTTCCAACCCAATATGTCGTCTTTCCTAAAATTACACTCAGACCTTTACAGATGACATGCAATTAGTGTCTATCCACAGGTCATCAGGAAGCAATCATAATATAAGGCCATATACAATTTGTTTCTGTGACAAACCAAATGTAAAAATCTGTTGCTGAATGAACCTGACATATATGTATACCTTATGACTGTCAAGTATAACTGTGAAAATATTTAAATTAACAGGTAGATTGACAGCTTACGTTAAGGCAAATGAAACCTGAAATATATCCTTGTCTAACAATTACTTTCTAAAAAAGGAAACACATTAATTGCATCAACAGACCGTATAATTGATAATTTGAGCCCTTCAGTTCAGAAGGCTAAAAGAAACACAATCATAGTTTGAGGAAGGATGTCATGGCTATGTTTGGGCAAAAATGAATAAAAATTGAAGATGAATTAAATCTATACCATAGAAATTATACAAGACAGAGGGATTGTTGTAAGATATATATATTTTACCCAATATAGTGGGAAACGGGTGTATCGAGCTAATCTCAAGAAAGCTGCCTTTGGCTTTCAAGTTTATGACAGATTTGTTCAAAGTCTGCAAACGATCCAAGTTCAAATCATTTTCATACCAATCTATACCACTAAATGGTTTTGATCAAACTTTTCATTTGATAATTTACTTCTACAAACAATAAAAAACAGTTGTCCAAAGACTGGTAAAATATATTCAAAGCATATTTTGTCCTGAAAGTAGGAAGACTAACAGATGCTTCCATTTCTGTTTTTATCAAAAAGGAATCAATGATTAACTGACTTAATAGAAAGAATAAAAAAACTAGTTCTTCAATATACATTCTATTGTATTCAGTAACACAGCCTCTCGCGGTATATCCTGAAAGAATACCACAACCTCTACCATTATATTCTGAAAGAGTACTCCAACCTCTGAAAGTGTAACTTGAACTCAAACCTTTCCCATTCTATTCTGAAAGAGTACTCAAACCTCTCCAATTTTTTATCTATCAATTCAGAATGAGAACCCCTTTCTGTTCCATTCCATTCTGTGAGTATACCCCATCCTCTCCCATTAGTTTCTATTCATTCAGAAAGGGAAAATTTCAATCGTTCAAAGAAAAGGAACATTTTTTCTATTTCATAGTACAATATATATTTACACAGTGTTTGTCAGATCTTAATCTCACAAAATAAACAGGTAATATCTGCATTCATCAGGATCTAATTCATTTAATCACAGACTTTTTTAAAAGAAATATATTGTTATTTACACAGGTAAATAAAAGAGCTTTTTGACATATAAAGAATACAAAACACTTTAATATTCTCCAGTCTATCCCTTTTAGACAACTTGTATGCATTTTCAGTTTCTCAAAATACAAAGTTACATCTGTACACAGGATACAGAATAATCTTCTTAATCACAAATTCACAAAATTCACAATTTGAAATCAACACTGCAGAAAACTTCAGTTCACACAATAAATATAGAAAATGTCAAAATAAAATTTCACAATTTCAAAATTGCATTGTCCCTATTAAACACAGGGACATGTACATTGTGTAATACTGAAACAAACCATGAATAGTTATTTTTGTATTGCATTCAGAGTCTACACAAAAATTCTGAGTTATTTTGTTAAATGTCCATCCATCCAAAGACTTGTTTAGATTATCTACACAAAATGTATTATGATATGCATAGAAGTAAAACGGCGGACAGAAATTCTTGAGATGGAGAGAAATGAGTTATTTTGACCCAACTGATTCAAATCTAACAAATCATGCAAACATTCAAAATACATCATGTATGCAAATGACCATCTTTAATCCTCATAAATTCCGTTGCAATAAATTTGTGATGTCCGTTGGACTTATTACTAGAAAATCTGAAAATTAAACATTGCTCACTTCATCATCCATATAAATAATCATATATACGTAGGCCTTATATACACAAACAGTAATAATCACTAACTTTGTAAAATAATACTTTCACTCGCCATATATGTTTCATTCAACTTGTGTTTCACACAATAAATCATGTCTTTTTTCTTTCAAGTCTCCATGCTACATGCAGTATTGATTGTAGCTATCTCCCTACCCATCCTTCCCTACCATTTCCCAGTCCTACATGCCATTGTATGCTGGCCCCTCTCCCCCCTGAGGACACACCCAGTTAATGTTCTGACTAGGGTCCTTGATATCACAGGTTTTACAGTGTATACAGTTCTGTGCATTGATCTGAAGTCGTTTTCCTGATCCATCTTCTGTATCAACATATTCATATACTCCTGAAAATCAAACAGAATGTTTTATTTATATAAATGTACTTTATCAGAAATGTCTGGTGCATGAAAAGTTATAGATTACATGTAGGATGACTGGCTTTAACTATGCAAGGTCATTCCTTTTAAACGTACATCTGTTGAGAGTACAGGTCACCTCACTAGCTTTGGTGTATTGGAATTTCCCTTTAGTCAAGTGGTAGAGTGTCCCACTAGAGACCAGAGTGTAGCTAGTTCCAACCCCATCAGTGAAGGTGTTTTTTATTACTCCTTCCTATTATCACACATCTATCCTATCCCAGACTCAAGATTTTTTTAAGGGATACTACATATATAACTGAATTGATAGTTTGCTTAGAAATAACAGGCAGGAAATTGAACCATATATAGAACTGACTTATTTCGACCTCTGGGGTCTAGTAGATGATTTAATGGAATAGCCCTAATGTACATCAGTAGGTACCAAAAGTGCAAACCGTATCAATAAATCAATCTTTTCCTTCTTTGTCCTGAAATTAGTTAAAACTATATCTGTCTAAATGCTCACCTGGATTGTATATAATAATCAAATTTTCTACAAAATTTTAACAGATTTTTAGTGTTTTTATCCTTCTAGCACATATATTAATTTCATAGATATTTGTGAAATTAATCATGAAACAGTGAAAATTAATACTGACCAGCAGGACAAAATCTTTGTTCAGGACCATCATATATAGCGAGATTGTGATTGACAGGCACCGAGTCATCCATAAGTGTAAGATGGGCAGGCTGGTCATGATCATGGTTTGTGCCTGTCAGGGCCACTGAGGATAGTAGGTCAAAACTGATTTTCCCATCTGGCTTTGGATACTCAATAGGTGTACATTCAGCAGCAGGCTTCAGTCTGGTATTGTCAGCACCTGTCACACACAATATTAATTACAAATGCTTTTGCACAGAAAATTATTGATTAATAATCATAATCAATAATTAATAATCCTTACCATTCAGCAAACAAAATAATTATGTATATGTAATTTAAAATCAAATCTTTCATAGTCCTTCATTTTTATCAGCTGACAGTCAAATAAGGATTTTGATTTTGTGAGATGGTAAATACAAATCAGGTTTAAATGTATCATTACACACATTGATTTAATCTATCACCTGATTCCTTATTTTGATATTATATTACTGAACTATACAAGTGTACTAATCTTTCACTGAACAATTACTTATATTTCTGCATAATCCTGATGACATTTATACTATCAAGTCAGAGTTCAATACTTCCTTGAAGGGCCTGTTCCCAATATTATGATTTTCGTGCAGGATGTCATCAACCGACAGACAGCCTCATAACAAGAGATGCAGGTTGATGAAAATTATTGGGAAGTTAAAGAATCATCATAATGACCTCATTGAGAAATATTCTATTTCTTGGTGCAATATGAAGCTAGATGTGTTTCATGCTTGTTGGTTTGCCTATTGGTTCCATTGTTGTATGTAGGTGGATTCAGAGAAGGGCACACCCGGCACACAGCCCAGTTGGAAACAATGCAAACAAGTTTTCAATTAACAAAAATGTGCACCTTCTCTAACACACAATCCTGGATCTGTGCCTGTTGCATAACTTGTCCAAATTTGATAATGCCATTTTTTACTTGGATTGACCAAGATTTACATGGCAAGTGTCATCAGTGAAGCATAAGATCATTACTCTTCTGGAACATCTGGTCTTATTCCCCTTGTTCTTTTTCAGAAATCTCAGATTTAATCTTTCTTCTGTTCAAATTTTGCCCTAGTTTTATCAAATTTGAGTTTGAATTATGATTATGTTCACATGTTGGGGGTACTTTCTTGTTATTGTTTTTAAGGAAGATATATATATATTTAGCTAATTCAACAACTTACCTCCATGTTTTAAGGTCCATGGCTCTTTTCCTCTGAGGAAACAGTAAAAGAGTCCTGTATATGCCAAACCTCCATACAAACCCAAAGCAGAGTGGAAAGAAGGTCGCACATTTCTAACAGCTTTCATTTCATCCCAAACCCAGCTTTTCCTAAGTCTTTCCTCATATAAACTAGGTTCAGGACCTACAAATATCAAACATGTCAAATTGTTCAGAGTAGGCTTTTACAGTGTCTGTAAACCTTGGATTAAATATTTCTGTTATTGATCTAAATAACAAGACTACTCAAGAGTAGCTATGTCTAAAAAATAAGAATGGAAACACTGACACAAAGCATCAAAAAGGCTGACACAATTCAAGGTTCAGATAATATTTCCCTCTGTCTAACAATTATAATGGACAGAATATAAAACTTACTTGTTGTAGGAGAATTAGACATTAACTCTTCATTAAACAGTGTATCAAACACTGACTCAGCAGCTACTAATCCACTCTTCATGGCATTGTGGGTTCCCTTGATTTTCGGCACATTCATAAATCCTGAACTACAGCCTATCAAACAACCTCCAGGAAATGTCAGCTTTGGAATACACTGAAACAGACAGAATCAGCTTTGGATAACAAGAGAGTCATAAAATGTCAGCTTCGGAATACACTGAAACAGAAATTGTGACTAAATGTCAGTTTTGGAATATGATGAAAAATGTGGAAAACAGATTAACAGAAAATGTAAATTTTAAATATATGTGTAATGAAACAGAAAATGTTAGCTTTGAAATATTCTGAAACAGAAAATGACAAATGAAAAGCTGTGCAATGATAACAAATTAAGTATGATGTATCTATCCAAATTCCAACTTTTGAATAAGTTTCCTTGGCCCATATAGGGAAACAGAAACAAATAAATGATCATTTTCATAAGCAAACAAAAGTTTTGGCAATGTTATAAAACAAACAAAATATCTTTTGCTCCTATTCATTACTTACTAAATGTTATGCCTAATATCCCTATATCAATTGAAAGCAGACAAAAGAAAATTTGCTAACCTGAAGTCCTCCTTCATTAAGAGCTCGGGCTCCGTATGCTACACGGTTACCTCCCCTAAATGTTGGTTCCACAACAGGATGATGTTTGAAACGCTGAAACTCTCGGAATGGGTTGATGAACGGATTAGTATAGTCAAGACCAACCTGTAAATTAAGAAATACATTCATGTATCTGTACACTTTTCCATGGCTTGAGTTGACATTGAAGTACACATTCTCCAAACAAGTTTTCATGTATCCATTCTCAAAACAATTTCATATAAATATATGTACCAGACAGGTTGATTTAAATTAATATTCGTCTTGTTATAAGTTTATATTGATACAAACTTCTAGTAACAAAGAAGACTATTTCAGCATGTGACACTCCAACAACCCTATAAGAACTGGTAAGTGTACAACATTGGTCAAAAATCTAAAATTCCCCCAACAAAACGATACATTGACTGTAGATAAATAGAAAAAGCTACACCATTCCCTGTGGTAGTTAAAACTTACCACCATGCCTACGACAACCATTGGACCCTCATCTAGATGATACAGAAATGTTCCACCATAGGTATTCTTGTCCTGTAACAAAACCGTATGTGACACAGTATATGACAATACTATATAATTCTCCTCAAAAGTTTTATAAAATCTTCAGCTATCAAAATTTGTGACCGAGACAAGAATAATAATTATTTGACATTTGACTCCATACTGCAATAGCTTGAAACTTGTGAGTAAAAACTTTGAAATGAAAAACAACTGATCACCAATTAAGATGCATCTTTTCAATGGAATTTAGTGAAATACAAATAAGATATTGTTTATTTGGTATTAAGGCCTAGGCAAAATTTTAGAATGCACAATGGCATAAAAGGACATTCAACAGTGAAAGTTTTTAGTGGACTCTGCCTGCCCAGTGGTAATAAAAACAGGATAATGTTGACTTATGTCAGAAATCTATAAAACTACATATTAAGACAAACTGATGGTAAATTCATTTCAAATATATCATGTAAGTGAAATGGAGTTTACTTTTAATAATGGTTTTTGGTTGTTAATTGATGATAAATTTCTCCAGATCACACTTTTCTGGTTTATATCTCATAATTCATAATTTGACAGCAAACAAAAAGCTTTACCAGATAACATGTAATATTCTTAAAATACCTGTTTCTTAGGCAGTCTCCATAAATAAAAGGTGCACAAACACAGCTGGTACAGTTTTAATTATATTTCATAAAATCACTTCTCTCAGTGGTCCTTGTTTGGAAAATCTCAAGTTAGTCAGGGGATAAATGTTTTATCAAAATAACCATTCAGTATATGCTTACAAATGGCCAGCCGACTGTGTGCTCCACACGGCCAGGAACATGCTTAGAGGGATCTATCTCCCATAGCTCTTTCAGTCCTATGCCATATGTCTGGGGCTCACAATCATTCCTTAAGTTGAATGTCTTGTACAGTTGTTTGGCTAAATGTCCATGACAACCCTCTCCAAATATGGTTACTTTGGCGTGAAGTTCCATCCCCCTCTCAAAAGTATCCTGGATACAAATTTATTTTACAATCAAGGCACTGACAAAATAAGTTAAGATACATTCATGTTCACCTGATAATATACAGCACATAAATCATAAAAAGAAGGCTTCAATATATTTCAGTGCACATGTTTTGCTTTCCTAGTCTGTCAAATTACGATTTAGATAGAAAATTCTTGATAATGGCTTTCAAATTTTATATCTTAAAAACAAATCTAGCAACACACCTTTGGAGAGCCATCTTTGTAAATTCCAACATCATTAGTTGCGATACCTTTAACACTGCCATCTTCATGGAATAAAACCTGCAATAGTATAATTAAGGTGCATGGATCTGGTCAAAACTTGCAAAAACGATTCCTTTAATACTTTCTTTGAGAAATCATTTCACTAACTTCAAGCAGTTTAGGAATTTATAATCCATTTATAGCTTGTTTGCATCATCTGATAGAAGATTAGAATATTCAACAAATACCAGTCATTGCTGAAATTACTGCACATGTAGTACCAATTGACAAATCAATAAGGAAAAAACAATCAATGACAAAAGCAGATATCACAGATAGATATGTAAACTAGAGAAATGTTTGACAGAATATTGAAAATTTATCTTTAAATATTCAATAGACTTATAAACCAGTTTGACAAAAACCTACATAGCCTTTTGACAGACTGTCCTATATCTTTTGGAACTGATCTGTAAACTGACCGTGGGCAGATCTACGACAGCTTTATTAGACTTATGGGACAGATCTACCACAGTATAGACATGAATTAGATTCAAGTACCTCACTAGCAGCATAGCCAGGGTACAGCTCCACACCTAAGGCCTCTGCCTGCTCGCCAAGCCACCTTACTACATTACCAAGTCGTACAATGTAGTTACCATGGTTGTTCATTGGGAAAACTGCAATTAATTTTAAAACAGTTCATCAGTGTGCTGCATGTTGTTACTGTGCATGATAAAAGAAAAACAATGAAATTAATTTCATGTATTCAAATCAATTACAACATGCAAATCATTACTGATACTGGATATTGAAGTCTGTCACCATGAATTACCTACTACCAGGTTCTGTACTTACAAGGTAAAATTGGAATGGGTATTCTTCCAGTTTTGGTTAGAAATGAAAACCTGTCTTCCTTTACTTCAGTGTGAAGTGGAGCCTGGAAAATCACAGGTCAAAAATGGTAATAATAATGTGTTAGGGCAAGTACATTTAAAATGGATTCAGTGTTCTAGGATTTGTTTTCAATATCATAATTTCTGTGAGAGATATTGTCAGCTGACAGGTTACCTTACAAAAAGCAAGTGGATGGAGTTTATTGAGAAGCTTGATACACAGTTGAAACTTGTTATCACAAAATCTCTTGAGTATATTCCATTTCTTTTCAAGATATGAAGCTAAATTTATTTTATGCCTGTAAGCATGCCTGTTTGTTTCACTTTTGCTACATTACAATGCTATATTTAAAATACTTAGTTCTCTAAAGAGAAAAAATATTTATATAAATTAACATTCGATGTAGTGTTTTTAGCAATATTCATATGTTCTCAAAACCTACATCAGATGTGCATTGTTTCAGCACATATTTCTAGAATTCAGGTACTTACCCCTCGTTCCTTCCAGTCAGGAAAAAGTTCTTCAAGGGCTTTAGGTTCAATACATGCTCCAGATAATGTGTGTCCCCCTGTAAATGATATTTCAGTATTACTAACACAGTAAATATCAGTCACTGATAATCTTTTTTTTTTTTACGTTATACAGATATCAAAACATACAGGCAGCAGCTTTAGGTACTTGAAAGTATTACTGCAATTAATGACCTTAATGTGCTTATCACTTCTCCTTGTCAACTGTCATATAAAATGTTTACCTTTTGTAACCATACATTACTTTGAGAAGTTTCTTCTTTAAACATGAGATAATATTATCATTTTTAAATGAACAAATATGCAGAAAAAGTCATTATAGCATTTGAAAAAAAGTTTTATAACTTCTGTAAGTAACCTGTCACAGATATCATAAGTCACAAATATACAGTAGGAGATTTGGTATTTAACTGTTACCAGCTAGCAAAATATTATATATTCAAAAGGATGGTAACTTCCTAAGGGCAAGGCAATTCTTATAAGGAATTACAGTACACATACATTAAACAAAATTCATAATTCAGATATCTTTTCTTAAAATAACAACTGAATTTAAATCAAAATCTAGACTACTGATATGATAAAACCTGTAAAAGTTTTGGTTCTCCTCAGCCATTAGTACCTATTTCAGCTGCCTTCTCCACAAGACAGACCCGCAACTCCTTGCCCTGATCATTGGCCATCTGTTTGAGGCGACAAGCTGCAGATAGACCAGCTGGTCCTCCTCCCACTATGAGAACATCTGTCTCGTCTCCATAACGCTCCATGTCGACCTCTGCATGATTATACCAAACACCTTACAATGTATTTATATTAACCAAGATAGAATATATCTACTTTGGATCATACAATGCTATAAAATGTCATGTACCAGGTACCAGGTCACAACAGGAACATGTAAATTTGTTTTGTAGTTGAGTGTGCATGGGGCACAGGTGACAATGTGTTGAAAGACTGTAACATTTTTTTCACACTACACTGACAACTAAGCAGCACATTCCTGTTTTCTTAACAATTAACTTTTTGTGCTTTCTTTTTTTCACTTTTTAGTTATGGTCAGTAAATGGTAGCAGGAATTCAGAAAAAAAAATTCAGTATAAAAGTTTGGAGGAATATCTAACTTTACACTAATCAACATCTGCTTATAATATAACCAAGGTAAACTGCCTATTTTCAACTAAACAAGCACCCGACTAAAATCCTACTGTGATGTCATTATCAAATTAACATTAGTAACTGCTGGCTTTATAGACTGGAGACAAATATATGTATATATAGCAGAACGTCTATTCCTAAATTCAATACTGATTATTCAAAACAATTGTCTTAAGTTAGTTTCAGTGAAGTTGTTTAATCACAGATATCACTAAGGTTTCAAACTTCTAAGCTGAAGATAATAATGCTTAATTTTACCTGCCCATCTTGGGTCCTTGTCTCTGGGATGAACTGTGTAATGTGTTGTTATCTTTGGAGTGGATTTAGCTGCATTTGCACAATAGTGCCTTTGTCGAAGATATGACCACAGGCCTTTACCTATGAAAGTAGTAAAAAAGACAGGGTGTTAAGTCTATACAAAGAGCTTCAATTATTGAAATGTCACAAGTTGCAACCAATTTCATTTTTTTTATCTTTTTATTACTTTTTTGATAAAAATAATGAGTCCCACAATGTAAAACTCTGTATTTTCAGAAATTCTATGATTCCCATCTATTGGCAAAGAACTCATGACACAGGACTCGGGACTCGCACATAGATTTATCACCTGATGATAACTTACTTTATCTCACAGCTTAGGAACCAACCTCACCTTTTATCATTAGTTTATATATTACCCAACCACTTGCTATATAGATGTGATTCAGATATTCAGTTTTCAATGCAATGCCTGCATACAATATATTACTATATATTCATGAATGACAAGTGTTTGCCTGAGGTTTCATAACACCTAAAGGTGTCTAACCAACTTTACATGCTTACCAAAATGGAAACAAAAGCAGAATTATGACTATATACTTTGTAACAGATCTAGAGCTGCAGCAGATGAAGCAACAAATCAATGATATTCACATTATCATGTACTCTACAGGCCTAGATTACAGCAGAATTACATAGTATATATAGCCCAATCCAAGATTCCTCTGGTCCCTACGACAGACATCACGCATTTTCATGAATAGAACTAATTTTTGGTGTCATTTGAACCAGAGCCTGCAACCCTATTAACCATTTGAAATTTGGAGTCATAACTTTTGGGTTTATGACTAAATAAATCATTAAAGACATAAATGCCTACCATAGAAACACCAATCAAATATACAGATAGCTATCAAAACCAAGCATTTTGTCAAAAATATCTGTTTTATACCAATCTATCCAGTCAGTGCATCTGAGACATGGCTTTACCCAGTTCACAATTTCTCACTTGGACCTGTGATACACGCATGGTTTTTGACATTTGCTCATCAGCTTAACTTCAACATTAACTGCAAATTTACTTGTATAAGATAAGAAAGGTTTGTTTCCTGTTCAGGACTCATGAACTTGTGAAGTGCTCTATACCAATACTCAATACTACATATAAAGTATTATGTGTTATCTCTTGCAATACATTGTTAGTTCAATTATTTCAATAATTAAGGGATTTCAGCTCTGTAGTTAGACTCAGTTCTTGGTTTTTCAAGTGTCTGTCCAACTGTATACTGTTATATAAAGCTTGTAAGAACTTCTTGTATCAATCCAATAAAAGGTCAAAATTCCAAAAATCTGACAAAAATATCTCTTGAATCAATTGAATAAGTTGCAAAAGTTACAGTTATCTTCTGTTTTTTTTTTTAGATTTTAATATGACACTGTTGCTTACTATATTACAAAATTTCAATTATGCAACAGTGACTTGAGCGAGTATGGATAAATACTGTCTGGGAAATGGAGACCAGGTTATACCTGTTGTCAAAACCAATTTTATAATGCAGTTGTATTAAAAAAATTGTTGAAACTGAAGTTAATTATAGCAAAATAACAAAAATGCAAGGTTCCTAATATACGTGTATACTATATTACAAAACTTCAATTATGCAACAGTGACTTGAGCGAGTATGGATAAATACTGTCTGGGAAATGGAGACCAGGTTATACCTGTTGTCTAAACCAATTTTATAATGCAGTTGTATTAAAAAAATTGTTGAAACTGAAGTTAATTATAGCAAAATAACAAAAATGCAACGTTCCTAATATACGTGTATACTGTCCATATATAACTGTACACGCATACTTCGTATGTCAATGTTGATTACTATCATATACGTTTTGCAAAAATGCAGACATAGTCATAATTTTGTCAAAGCAGTGAGACTTTTCTTATTGCGTTCGTACTGATCTGATTCCAAGGTGTTGAGTCAATATCAATGTAAATCATAAAATGACAGCTGTACTTTGGACCTTGCATAAGGAATACGAGTAACGTTAATTACATCGCCAATGTTTCAATTCACATCACAGAACGCAATTATGATATTTAGGAAGCATCGCATAGCTTTTCAAATGAGCATTTCATTGAAGAATGCATATAAGAGTTAATATACTTAGCTGAATTACAAACCATTTCGACTGCAGACAGACACCTTTCTCAAAAGAGCCGCCATGTTGTGTAACTAATTGCCGTAAAGTAGTCTAAAGACGTAAGGAAATATTTTCGATGTTCAATATCATATTTAGTGGGATACTTATATAAGGCAAAACATATAGTATAGATTGTGATTCGAGAAAGCTTTTTTTTTAAATGACCTGCATTCAAAATATTGTTGTCGTAAATAAAATTGTAATTGAGCAGTGGTCTCCCTTTAACTGTCCACCAAGCACTCCAGACCTGCAGAGTGTCACATTCCTGTCAAGTACATCTTGTACAGGGGTTGACATGTTTTTCCGGCTCCGTGACTCCTCCCTTGTCAGCGAATCGGTAACTGACTTAGTTTAAACAATATTTTATTCATAATTTAAATACCAGAAGACAAGAAATAAACTTAGGTGAAAAGCGAGTCGACAACAAGCTTGTAGCTTATGTTAGTCATCTTTAATAAATTGACTGGCATACACATTGCTAATGGGTGCGTACAAGGCATTTATAGATTATAGTACAAGAAAATATTGAGTGAATAGTTTATATACATTTACAGAATACTTACCACCGTGAACAAACAGAAAAAGAGAGTGAATAAAGTAACACTACTAATAAGATCTGACAGTGGCATTGTCAGTCCCTTACTCTATACCTCATTATATACCAAATATACGTACAGATATACAGTAATAACGTAGTTTAGAGATCCTAACAGATTACTACGTTAACACAAAAACATATACCTATTGTTTGAAATGCATACATATCCATATTCTTATTATTATTTGAAAGTAACACATTTCCATTGTGAAACTGGGAATAACATTGTTTCTTCTTGTCTAGTAAAATTTTTTTCAGAAAATCATATTATATATGTATTATATGTATAACAATTACATGTATATTTGAAAAGTATACGACAAATGTATTCCACGGAATACATTTTTTCGTGTTGATTTTATTCTTTTCAAATATGTTATCGTTACACAAAGCATCTTTAAGTTACATATATATATATCGCCTTAACCTTGATATGTGCCTTGTCGACTTTGAGCTGTGAAAAGGACTTAACACGATTTGAAGTGAAGACCCAAAATAACCTTGTCACTGTTATACATTTACAATACACACTTTATACACGGTTATCAGTTACGTCATGGTTGATAAATTTATATTTACATAAATTTGACATCTCTCTAACATTGAGCAGCTGTATCAGTTTAAAAATTGACTGTGACTTTTGTAATAGTAATGTATATCTCTATCTCACCTTATATCATGATATTAAAATAAAGTGAAATTCGTCTTTAATGTCTCCAATATAGCAACTGTTTCTATTTCTCAGTAGAATATTATTATCAATATGTGTTCCAACGTCTACATTTAATTTATGACATGATGTTCTATATATAGCTTTTGCTGATGTTAACATAGATAAAAGTATAAAGTATGGCTGTTATGTTTATATAGCAGACCTTTAGATGAACCACTTTATTTGGTAAAATATCAGTCGATCTCTGCTCTATATATTAAAAAGCAATGTCCTTTCAGAGGTTAGAGTCAAATATGTAATCATGTAATGTAGCTCATTCATCATAACATGTTTTCAACATGAAAGTACCTTATTTTTTCGACTTCAATCAACATCTAAACATTCTCAATTTTCTTGTAACACTTAATAGTAATCGACCCAGTTCACAGTAAAAAAATCATTAAAAGTTAATTTTGGAACCTTTTACCTTTTACAGAAATGATATGTCGGGGCTATATGGAATCCGTATATTTCTGCAGTATAGCATATGTTGCTTTTACCATGTTAATCAGAAATTGTACAGTGCGTTTTCTACACTTCTACATTCAAACTGTGATTTTCTTAAAGACGATGCGTTCTTTGCCTTGTTCTGCAAAATGCTTTTGTACTTTGTAGAGCTTTTCGTCGTAATTAATCCCATGTCTAAATATCTAAACCTGTCAACAACTTCTATATCCACATTCTCATATTTCTAACGTTCACGGTATCTTTTTTTTCCCGCCTTATCTATACACACGATTTTTGCTTTGTCGACGTTGACTTCCAGGTTCAGATTCTGATATATTCCTGAAGGCAGTCTAGCATAATTCTTTTGGGTTATCCGCAAATAGATAATTAAAAAAATAAATACTTAAGCGGCGCCCATACTTTCATTTGTATTATTGATTTAATAATTACCACCACATTATTGATTATCTCCCTTGATAACCCAGGTAAGGTAAAATGGATGTGCAGTGGACTGTGGTAACAAGTTATTTATTACCCGCACTTTTTTATTATGAGAGGTTTTCATTATGCAGTAAATGTACCAGTTCAACTGTTCTAAAAAACATTAGACTAACAGAAACAATTTGACTAGGGACTATTTATATTCCGTCCCGGTTCCGTGATCATCACGGTTCACTTGTTACTGTTAAGCACGTGTAAAATATCTATCTACAATGGACAGAATATTAAGTACACATTATCATAAATTAGATAGCTAGACACTATTGTTATAATGGAAACAGGCATAAATTGCCTCTATATCCATATTTTCTATCATTTACATACAGAGAAAATAGTACAGGCGATACTAATATTTTCCAGGAAGAATCCGGGACTAATAGAGTCTGACTGACTTAATTGGCCATTGAATTTCGCGCACGATTTGTCAGTTTCGTATAAAGGAAATATGATTTTTCAAAAAATTTCCACGAACTCCTAAACATACTGTATTATTAGCACAGCATTTTCTAAATCCGATATTATACATGATTGTGACCAAGATTCAGGAAAAAAATCTTGTTTTGTGGGTAATTTACCTGGACCTGTATAAGTACTTCTGTACCAAGGATCTCCTAACTCAGTACTGATATGTATCAGTTTGTCACCTTCCATTTCAATGGACAAATGGATTATTTTCCTTAGGCGATTCGTGGTGTATGGATTAAAAATCAGCTAACTTTAAAATGGTTATTACTGCTATTTGAACACAGAATATTCCAAGAGTATTGTATCAGCAAAATTATGAATTTTGGTTAGTTGGACAGCTTTCGTACCGGTATCAGAGAAGGAATAATGGATACAAGGAAAAATCTGTTCTGGGATTTAAACAAAAAAGTTGTAAAAACAAAAGCAAATTTAACATTCTGAAGACGAAAGAAATAGTTTTAAGACGCAAAATACTAATAATCATTTTCATGAACAAGGCAGTTTTAGCTCTAAGCATTTTCTGCTTGTATCTTTCGAGGAATGGTTTATTTGAAAGTGCTATTTTTAAATCAAGGAAATGTAGCTCCTGAAGATTACACACTTCAATAGAAAAAGAAAAGATGTTTAACATTCTCGTGAATTGCCTCACTATCCATATTTTTTGTCTGATTATCTGTGATAATTATCCCATGTTGTTTCACTATCTGAATGATCTCCGTAAATAAGTCATGCATGTTCACCTTCCGGTTTTTTTTCTTCCCTTCTACCTCAAGTTTGTTTTCCTTTTATCCATATTTTGGTATGTTATTATGGTTTGCGATAGATTCCGGGACATGTAAGACATTTCAATAACTATATACCTATATGTGTGTGATTACAATTATATAGAGGTCAGACTATTTTGATCTATTTTAACTGTCAAGTGTATGTTACATTTTCAATACTTCGTAAATTCAACGGCAGGATATGTACAAGTAGTGCAAGAATTAATTCAGCAGCTTTCCGTTATGTTTTAACTACAGTCGTCCATAAGTCTTATTAGTCCGAGCTCTTATCAATTATGATAAGTACATCTGTCCAAATCGTCATGTGCATATGTCAAGGATCGGTAATACGTAGTTCTGTCCCTACGTATAGTTACCATCCGATTACATAGAATAATATAAATATATATAACACTAAATCACCACATACATATTCAAGGGTCGGTAATGTCCTGTCTCTACATATAGTTACCATTTGATTAGGTCTATAGATAGACATACGGATATAGGTAAAACTCTCACAATCACCACATACATATTCAAGAACTGGTAATGGGTTTTGTAAATTCTTGGCACAAGATTTAATATACATATATTCTCCAAAAGAATCGAGGTAACTTTATTTGACGACTTGAATTAAGAGTGACCCCAACATGTCTATCTAACAAAGTATTATTGACATTAAAAGGTGAGCAGTTTGTCTTTTTTCCTGTCGAGATGTCAGTAACACAAAGTCCTAGACTTATTGGAAACAGGATACATTTAGATGACGTTACCTATATATAATACTTCCGGGAGAAAAAAAACAATGCTCCTTAAACTAATAGTATTGTCCTGCTGGTTCCGTCACTGTATACCTTGTTCTCTTTTGGAGAGCATTACCTTACTTACTTGGTTTAACCAAACTTTTACATGGCAAGCACGTCTAAGAAGCAAAAGACGCTTACCCTTCAGGAACACATGGCTTTATTCTCCTTGTACTTCTTCAGGAGTCTCCGTGTAAATCTGTCTTTTGTTAATGTTTTGCCATATTTTTGTTGACGTGGGTTTGGACTATGATTTTATTGACATGTTGACATTTTTATTGTTACTTCATTCAGAAGTGATTGCTGCTATAAAGTAAGGAAGTTATACAGTCGTGGAAAAACTCCATACTAACAAACATTTTGGAGTTACGTCTAAGAGAACACAAAAGCTGGAATAATGGACTGGTGTGCGCGTGAATGTGTACTATTCAAATTTGAATCATACTTGTTCAGAGCACTTGATTCAGATTTAGACACAAAAACACACATCCATTCAGTGCTACATGTAATAATTAAGGGATATGTAAAATACCCACGTTGTGTATTGACTCTCGGATATGTTTTTTTTATCCTTATGAAAAAATATCCCTAGCATCGAGATAACGACATTAAATCAGTTTACTTTCATCTACGGCCATACTTCTGATTAATTCTTTTGTACACGGTCTATTGCAATGTACATCCAGAATACATTCTTAACTCGAAGCTGCTGCAAGTTTTACGTGGACGTTCAAGGACTTTCCTGACTGAACTTATATCCAATTCTATTTTAGAATTATCGAAATGACTGCCATTTTGTGTGTACCTTTAATAATAACGCTTGAGCGATTTTAGCTTACAGCCTAATATTACATTTCTGGTATGTATTCTCTATTTGACTTTACCAACAAAATTGATGTTTATACTTCTGTAAACATTAAGTCTGGGGCGTGTGAAGCCAGACCACTGTATACTTGCGTTAAAAATAAACGTGAATCAACTACTGTGTATGTTGTATATATATATTGTTTTGTGAAGTTATGTTAAATAAACTTGAAAACTCAAAGCAATAGGTGCTTGGGAATGTAAATATTTATAATAGTACACAAAAATATAATAAAAAGATATCATTGTGGAACTATATAAAAACAGATATACATTGTACTTATATGTATTTTTATCTAATTAACACCTTCCTTCATTCTATTATTTCCTTGTAACCTTTCACAGTTGATGTTGTGAAACACATTTGGCTTTTACAAGTGTTAAGTTATGTATCTGTGTGGTTAAACTATCAAAGTTCATATTACTTTGGAAAATGAATGTCATTTTATCTGTGCATTAGTGCGTGGTTATTTAGAATTTACAGATCTTTTTTGTATCCATGGTAATGGTATTATTAACAGTATAAAATCATTAGCAGCTAGTAACACAAGAGTATAAATGAGACTGGTGTATGTTCCCCGAAAACGACTTAATTAGACACAAAATTTAATCAAAGGCCAATGATTCTGTAATCAAGAAGTTGCAGGCACTGGATTTAGTATAATACACATTATCTTATTATGACCAATGTATACACAAAGTTTCAATAACTCCTAAATTATGAGAAAAATAGTTATAGTTCTTGTACATTGCACTTCTCCTTTTCGAGATTTATCTACCCAAGAAGTTTAATGTTGATATCTGGTAAAGTGTTTGCGATATGCTCCGGACAAATTATGACGAACAAACGGACGGCAGGATGGACAAAACGGCGACTGTATGCTTTCACTTCGGGGAGCATAAAATGCACAACAGTATTATAGTCTTATGTATGCAAAAAGATTTGTAAAATGTGTAAACGGTTTTGGTGTTGTAGTCCAGAAAAAAAGAGAAAAACATGTTCATTCGATCTCAAAATGATTTTCGATAAATAGCCAAAAAAATCCGAGAAAAACTTTTTGATTTTTTCAATATTTCTTCTTTTAAAACAAAACTATAGATACACAACTCTTTTAGCAAGAAACTTGGAATTTTATAGCAGAGTATCCACAAATTTTCGGTTAGAAGTCGTGATCAGTGATGGATCTGTGGAACGAGAAATGATGCACGGACGGAAAGATGGACGGACGCGCAAGCAAGGGGTCCATTGAAGTGTTCTCGGCGGAACAAGACGAGGCACTAGTACATAATACAGCGAAGGTTTTCAGAAGATGACAGATATGACATGTATCATAAAACAAAGAAATCTTAATTTTTATAAATGTTTAATGTCAATAAACAAAAAATGAAACAAATGACGTCACAATGATAAGTTGATGAGGCGATATTATTACTGGTACAGGTCACCGCGCACACTGGGTGTAGATTTCCAACTACAACATAACAATGTATTAATGATTAGAAAAATCGTATATTCATTGAGACTTATGACGTAAGGCTCATCAAATGTACAAAATATCTCAAGAGAGAAATCCTTGTCAAATGTCTGCTGAAATACTACAGATGACTGATAAATGTCTTCTTTGAAATTACAAATTTTACATATTGGCTACAAAGACAATTTATGTGAAGACTTTCATGAAAACTGTGTCAAAGTTCAAGCATCGAAGATACTCAACACCTCGAGAAAATATAGTTCACCAACGGAATCATTGAAATTATCCTTGTTGAGAAATAGGAAACAAATAATTCATTATTTGTGTCACTGAACGTCTTAGAGTGTTAAGTTAAACTTCTGAAACCTGAAAGATCACATGAAAACCAGTGCCTACGGGAAACCATAAAGAGAAACGGGCACTTAGGTGACAAATAGAAGAGAATGAGATAGGCATTATAAATTGTGATTAGGATAACATATACATTTTAAAGTTCCGAATAACAGATTCCAGCAATCACATACATAGGCTATGAAGATTTGTATGTAGTAAGTTACTTTTCAATAACAGCAAAATTAAGCAGTTTATAAACAACCATAAAGATAAAAAGGCAAAGGTATATCAGAAGACATCAAAATAACACTCCTTGATATATAACCAGATATAAAAAACTGACACGTAATTGTTATAAGGAAGCGAGATCATATCAAACACAACATGAGACAGATGCACAATAAAATAAACAATTAAAAACACACCGAAGGTATAGCGAGTCAACAGCTGGAAATGAGAAGAATTGGTACTCTATTGATTATTAATAAAGCAATAATAATTTATTTGCACACAATTTTCGTTTTGGGTTTTTTAATATGATTCCGTCACTGTAACAGGTGGTAAGCAGATACTAAAGCTTCTTTAACAGAATTACAACTTAAATAACAAAATACTTGTACACAGGAGATAATGAAATAAGACTATAGGAACTATAAAGGCAATGATACTCTATATACCACCAGATATAATTACCTGATCCATTTCACCAATAAACCCTGGCGATTTAGGACATTTTCCAATGATAAGTGGATTATTTCTTGATACCAGATTTCCTGTTAAAATAAAATGATAATAATTTATTGAATATTCAAATAGTTACATATTACATGTAAGAAGTAAGAAGGACAACAGTGATCTATGTGAAATTCATCAGATTTGTGTATAATTTAAATGCCTCTAACGTGTTTATAATAATCACGTTATATAGTAATACTCCATTAAAGCACCTGTTTTCTTGCTCTGTATATATGTACAAGCTAGACGCTATATATACTTAGTCGTATGAATGTCACTCAAAATTGCCATAAAATTTATGATTTATGGATGTTATAAAACGTATAATTCTTAAACAAGTTTCTCACAATTCTCTTAACAACGTGTTCAGTTCATCGCAAACAAATGGTGGCCGAAGGCATGTTTCGGCATGTCAACGTCGAATATCGTTTTATCAAAAAAATAATAAAGTGTCAACTCTCTGTGCCATTATGAAAATAGCAATTAGTTATCGAAAAACAATTTCTTTAATGTTATTCAGTACAAATGCAATTTAAACGAAGTGGTGTTACATGGAAATGTTTTAAGACTATGTATTGCATTATTATGGTATATGTGGTCACATATAAATAGTTCGATATTCTAACGAGACGACCAACGAGAGAGGTGTAGGCCAGTGTGACTTGTGGTCTACTGGCCCAATAATACATATTGAAGGTGTTATTGACCAATTAGGATCGCATGTAGACGTAATATATTCATCTGAAACAGGTCAGACTTCTATTCATTAAAAGACTTATCGCTGATTATATGTGTGCAAGTATACATAGGATCGCATGTAGACGTAATATACTCATCTGAAACAGGTCAGACTTCTATTCATTAAAAGACTTATCGCTGATTATATGTGTGCAAGTATACATGCACGATTTACTTGCTCCTTTCAGACAGGTTCAAGAGGTAGTGCTACTTGGCGGTGGTTTGGTGATAAGATAGTGTTTTTTTGCCGGTGGTTTGGTGACGAGATAGCATATGTTGTCGGAGGTTCGGTGACGAGATAGCATATGTTGTCGGAGGTTCGGTGACGAGATAGCATATGTTGTCGGTGGTTTGGTGACGAGATAGCATATGTTGTCGGAGGTTTGGTGACGAGATAGCATATGTTGTCGGAGGTTTGGTGACGAGATAGCAAATGTTGTCGGAGGTTTGGTGACGAGATAGCATATGTTGTCGGAGGTTTGGTGACGAGATAGCAAATGTTGTCGGATGTTTGGTGACGAGATAGCATATGTTGTCGGAGGTTTGGTGACGAGATAGCATATGTTGTCGGTGGTTTGGTGACGAGATAGCATATGTTGTCGGAGGTTTGGTGGCGAGATAGCATATGTTGTCGGAGGTTTGGTGACGAGATAGCAAATGTTGTCGGAGGTTTGGTGACGAGATAGCATATGTTGTCGGAGGTTTGGTGACGAGATAGCAAATGTTGTCGGATGTTTGGTGACGAGATAGCATATGTTGTCGGAGGTTTTGTGACGAGATAGCATATGTTGTCGGAGGTTTTGTGACGAGATAGCAAATGTTGTCGGATGTTTGGTGACGAGATAGCATATGTTGTCGGAGGTTTTGTGACGAGATAAGGTTTCTTGTATGTGTTTTGGTGACGACGAGAGAGTGTTTCTTGTCGGAGGTTTGTTGACGAGATAGTCTTGTTTGTCGGTGGTTTGGTGACGAGATAGTATATGCTGTCGGAGATTTGGTGGCGGGATAGGGTTTCTTTTATGTGTTTTGGTGACGACGAGAGAGTGCTTCTTGTCGGAGGTTTGGTGACGACGAGAGAGTGCTTCTTGTCGGAGGTTTGGTGACGAAATGGTGTTTCTTGTCGGTGGTGTGGTGACGAAGAGGTAGTGTTTCTTGTCGGAGGTTTGGTGACGAAATGGTGTTTCTTGTCGGTTTTTTGGTGACGAGAGAGTGTTTCTCGTCAAAGGTTTGGAAACGAAATGGTGTTTCTTGTCAGTGGTTTGACAACAACGAGAGAGTGTTTCTTGTCGGTATTCTGGTGACGACGAGATAGTGTTTCTTGTCGGTATTTTTTGTGACGAAGAGAGAGTGTTTCTTGTCGGTTTTCTGGTGACGAAGAGGTAGTGTTTCTTGTCGGAGGTTTGTTGACGAGAGAGTGTTTCTTGTCGGAGGTTTGGTGACGAAATGGTGTTTCTAATCGGTGGTTTGGTGATGACGAAAGAGTGTTTCTCGTCAAAGGTTTGGAAAATGGTGTTTCTTGTCGGTGGTTTGACGACAACGAGAGAGTGTTTCTTGTCGGTTTTCTGGTGACGATGGGATATTGTTTCTTGTCGGAGGTTTGGTGACGAAATGGTGTTTCTTGTCGGATGTTAGGTGACGAAATGTTGTTTCTTATCGGTATTTTTTATGACGAAGAGAGAGTGTTTCTTGTCGGTTTTCTGGTGACGAAGAGGTAGTGTTTCTTGTCGGTGGTTTGGTGACGAAATGGTGTTTCTTGTCGGAGGTTTGTTGACGAGAGAGTGTTTCTTGTCGGAGGTTTGGTGACGAGAGAGTGTTTCTTGTCGGTGGTTTAGTGACGACGAGATAGTGTTTCTTATCGATGGTTTGGTGACGAAGTGATAGTGTTTCTTGTCGGGGGTTTGGTGACGAGATAGTGTTTTTTTGTCGGAGGTTTGGTGACGAGATAGTATTTCTTGTCGGTTTTTAGGTGACAAAGAGAGAGTATTTCTTGTCGGTGGTGTGGTGACGAAGAAATAGTGTTTCTTGTCGGTGGTGTGGTGACGAAGAAATAGTGTTTCTTGTCGGTGCTGTGGTGACGAAGAAATAGTGTTTCTTGTCGGAGGTTTGGTGAAGAGAGAGTGTTTCTTGTCGGTTTCTTGGTGACAATGAGATAGTGTTTCTTGTCGGTGGTGTGGTGACGAAGAAATAGTGTTTCTTGTCGGTGGTGTGGTGACGAAGAAATAGTGTTTCTTGTCGGTGGTGTGGTGACGAAGAAATAGTGTTTCTTGTCGATGGTTTGGTGGCGAGAGAGTGTTTCTTGTCGGGTTTTTGGTGACAATGAGATAGGGTTTCTTGTCGGTGGTTTGGTGACGACGAGATAGTGTTTCTTGTCGATGGTTTGGTAGCGAGATAGTATATGTTGTCGATGGTTTGGTGACAAAATATTTTTTCTTGGGTAACGAGTTTTACGTTGCCTTGGTTTGTTGAGCGAGCTGTATTGCATATGAATTACGGTTGGAGGCCAATAGCAGCACACCTTTTTTACGTTATTTTCAAGTTGGTAGAAGGAATGGTGTTACCTGTGAGTGATTTGGACAGGCTTCGGTCATTTACACTGCCACTAAACTTGTTGGCCTTGTAAGTATATATAATATCAGCCCACTCATTGTCCTGAAAACAATGTTAACAACTTAGAAACTCAGGAACAGTATTAAGACACCTCTACCTAAATTAGAAATCTCGTGATTGAGAGGAATACAATTACGTTACAGAAACAGCAAAGAAAATATTGACATCTTAACGCAATAAAACTATGACAAAAATAAGAGCAAATGAAATATTTACGTGGAAAATAAGACCATTTGTCGGGAGGGGTAAAAGTTATGATATTTCATTTCTAATTAAGAGAAAAAACATAAAATAGAAATCTTAGTAAAGATAAAAGAATTGAACATGTTAATAATTTCAACATACTAAAACACGTTTTTACCTTAATATCTCTCAATATAACAGGAGGGACTTTGGTATTATCTGTGTTGGCTTTAAATGAAATCTTGTTATTGTCACATGCAATTTCCACGCTGGTTGGTCCATCTGGTCCACAATTACTGACGATGCTCCTTCCACCTGTTCTGCAGCTTCCTTTGTCCGCACGTACCCTCATCCTAATGGAGAACGTGCGACCAAGGTATCTATTTTGGAAGCCCCACAGAGAGATGTACCCGTTTTCCCGGAATACAGCGGTGTTGTTTCCGGTACCAGCAACGTTCACCTGGCTGAAAGCGAGCCCTCCACCTGACACATCCTTGATAATCCCACCGTCAAACGTCAGCTTAAACTCTGGCTTGCAGTCTGTACAAAATCATATTATTAGGTACATGGTCGTATTTAGATTTTAAAAAGCCCTTCTAATTATATGAAAACATGACAATGGAAATGAAAGTAATACTGGAATGTAGTAGCTCAGCATAGTCAGACAAACTTAACAATATAGAATGAACAAATATTCTTTCAAAAATGTTCATATACTTCAAGTATTCGCGTTTTTTTAAATTAACGTTAAAAAGCAAATTATGATGAAAAACTCTTAAAAAGATAAACGGCAGTTTTAATATTGGTGGTAATAAATCATGGATTATATTATTAGGTTCGTCCAAAAAGACCCCCAACACAGATACATGTAGGGCAGTTAGGAACCGTATTTGAAATTACAAATCTATACTGAATGGATAACGGAGGACAGCTAGCTAGCTATACTTATAAAGTTTTGTTCATGTTATTATACTACTTGGATAACTATGCATGTTGCAATAGTACGAACTCATTATACCATCATTAAAATGTCCGAAAGTGTTTTATTATATTAATTCCTTGTACCGGAATTTTGCAACTGCATAATTTTATTTAAAAACACTTACGGCTACTGTAGTCGTAATTGCGTGAGTATGTATATCATGGCCTTAAACATGTAAGGACAATGACTGAGTCTTCAGGTGCATAAAGCTTCTATTCCTAGTTGAATCTAAAACTTAACTCATATTTATATGAACCTCATAACAACCAATGAGAAACTCGATAAATACAGTCTGTACTGTATAAGTCAAACGATTCGAGGGGATCCTTGATACACAGATGGAATCCCAAACCGGTTTTAAACGGCTCTGCCGATAAACAAAAAATATAGTACAAGAAGTCGAGTCTCATTCCTTACGCTGTTCTACTATGTGATCTTACTTGGCGTGGATTTCGTTGTTGGCCTATGTCTGGTGGTAGTCTTACACTTGCACTCCGAGTGTTTGTACATATACCCGACAGGACATTTTTTCAAGACCAATGAACCTCGCTGTAAAATCCAGTAGACGTCTTTCCTCGACTCTACTTCTAGAGTTGGACATCCACCTATAACATATACCAGCAAGTTATCAATGTAGAGGACAAAACCTCTTTCCTTTTATGACGTAACGTCGTTGTACTCTATTATGATATCACAATCGATTTTGACTGGCACAGTCAATGAAAAAGGTTTCAAGGTATTTACACCAGTGACATACATGTATACGAAAACTACTACATTGGCGAATTCACTGGACAACAGCCTGATTATGTCATAAATACATGTATGCTATTGTAGCAAGTGCCTTGACAAGCTGTCTTACAGTGAAATGAGAGTATCAATGAATATCATCAATGGTCATTCCTGACCAAAGACAATGAAGCACAACACTAAGATTAAAACACAGTGACCAGTACAATTAATTGATTAATAAACGCAACAAAACAAATATGCCTACAACACCTGTCTTCCTGAGTGTGGACGACTGAAGGGTTTCACAAGGCTCTGAGCAGGTTGTGTCCCAGATACATTCTCCAGCGTCAGAACTGGTCTGTGCGAATCGCTGTCCACTTGGACAGCATGTAGGGACAGATACTCCGGCGAAACATTTGTTGTAAGTGCCACACCCACCATGGCTGCTGTAGTTAAAGTATCCCTTCTGACACGGATCTTCAAGATAAACATACACGTTTATACACATCAATTAATAAGTACAGGTATGACAAATAGTTAACACAATGATTCTTATTAAATTTAGATTTGAAACATACAGACAAAACAATCTGAGACAACCTTTTAGTGTCTGAAACGATCGAAGTAGATAAACCGAAATACTATAAGCTGCATAACAAAAACAACTTCTTGGGATAAATTACCATCAAAGCAGGTAACATCACTAGGATCACCACAGCGTTGTGTATTAGGATCCCAGAAGAGTCCAAATGGACAGTGCCTTGATACAGCTTGCATTTCATTTTCATTTGATGAACACTGTATGATTTTGGAGCAGTCTCCTGGATGTGGAATGAACGTTTGGTCTTTGATTGTTGACTTCAGGAACTGCATGCACAACACTACAAAACACAGATTTCATCTCAGATTACTCACATTACGTAATGAAACTTTGGTAAGAAATATTGTATAATTATATTGACTTGTCTGTTAACGTCTACTGAAGAGCAAGTTTACATTTGTCTGTAGTTTGATCAGGTTAAGTGATATTGTACTATTAAGGAAATTGTTTATATGGTTTTGGTACTAAAAGATTACATCAGACCTGATTGTTGATCTTGATCAATAATGTATTGTTGAATGCAAATAAACGTACCTTTCAAATCGTATTCTATCTTCAGTTTTGATTGTTGTGTTGTTGATAAAGACGTCGTTCTTGTTGATGAAGATGCAACCATAGGTGTCGAAGTAGTTCTCTGGGACCTTTTTCTTGGCGGGTTTTGACTACTAGAAGCTCTGTTATCCCTTGCCTGCATGCCATTAAACATTTTGGAGTCCATGGATCCCACAAAAAACGGCAAATGTTCCATAAAATTTGCATTTCCCGGCATTCCGTGTCCAGCAGCTTGAAAAAGGATGGTGTTCGTTTTCTTTGGCTTTGATTTATTTATATCTTTCTTAACCGATTTTGAATGTTTGTTCCCTCTAGGTGAATCATATTTGGTATCTACCATTGATGTCTGTGCCTTACTTTCACTTGGTTGACTGACAACTTTCCGTGTTTTAGGAGCTGCTGTTGTGTAGACAGGCGCATTTGTCGCCGTTTCGAATGGTTTATCAACATTTTGCAATGTCTTTGGCTGTACAAATCTGTGTTTTACACCTGCGTCTTCATTTGAAAATGGACTTGACATATGATTGAAAAAATAAGGAACTTCAAATAAAGTTGTTATTGAATTTCCCGACTTTGGAATGTTGGATCTAGTTATTTTTGCTGGTGGCTGAACACTTAAATTTGATTGAGGCTTCTGTGTCTTTGTTTGGACAGGGAAATGAGATGGAAACTCTTTTGCTTCCGGTTGGGCTTCGGAGATAGGTTGATATTCCTGTGTCCGCCTTTCGATATTAAATATAGATGTAGGTTGCTGCGGCTGCTTTTGGGTATCGAAATTTGATGAAGATTCTGGTGTTTGCTTCTGGACGTCGAAATGTGATGAAGGCTCTCTTTTTTCTGCGTTGACATTATCTGATGCACCATACGTCCCCTTCGGAGGAGGAGCTGGAGTAGAAGAAACTGTAGGAAAGGTCATTGTAAAAGACGAATCAATTATGATTCCTTGATATGGGGAGTTATTGTTACGTACACCAAACATGTTAAGTAAATCATCATTGTTTGCTAATGCAGGGCTTTGTACTGGAACGGGTTCTATAGGAGTTGAAGGCTCTGTATGGACACCGACACCTGCAGTGATTCCTGACTTGACTGGCTCTTGTCTCCCATATCCTTTGCTTTGAGCTATACTGCCTTCCTGTTGGTTTTGGTCAGAAGGCATGCTTGCTGAAGCCTCGTTTGTCTTTGAGGTTTCAGTATATGGGTTTATGGAAGATGGCACGATGAAATCGCCGAGCTGTCTCCTTAAGTTGGTAATATTCTTTTTCAGATCTTCACTCATTAGGTTTGTCACGGGCATGATATCATAGCCAGCATCCAAAACACTTTCTTTACCCTGTAGGTATTCAAACATATGAATAAATTTATATACTTAAATCTATTGTATCAACAATAACAAGAACAATAAAGAAAATAATACCGATCTGTCAACATAAATAAATGCTGTTATTTCAAAGACAATTTGATGAAATTAATGTTTTTTATTTTGTTTAATGTTAAAGGTATTTGGCATTTACTAGTCGGGAAATATTTGCTGTCACATGATGTTACGAAATTCTTGTGAAAGGTCTAAGGTTTCACAAACGATAAACTTCATTATTCTGATACTCAGTGAAATTAATATGTGATATTGGACATTTATTCAGAGAGAGAGAGAGAGAGAGAGAGAGAGAGAGAGAGAGAGAGAGGGATATATATATATATATATATATGATAATCAATGAAAATAATATTTAGACATATATTCAGAGAGAGGAAGGAGGGATTTACTGTGATGGCCCTAAAGGTCTCTCTCTTCATACAAAGCTTTCCAGCATATATTCTAGTATAGACATAAACTCTAAATTATGGCTATGACAATAAATACTTTACCTTCCTTATATTTATATTGCTATTACGTGAAAAAGGAGTTCAGTATTACGCTTTTCATACTTCAAAAGACTTTGTCGTTTCGCCTGAGAGTGAATATCGATATGTTCTTTGTTCGAACACGTTTACCCTATTAATAATTAGCTAAGATGATTGATGAAATCATTCGTTTCAGTTTTTCACATTCAGGTATGCTTTTAATGCGCACATGTCATTTATCCTGTATTAACCTGACCCCCACTCTATCATAGGCACATTGTGGATAAATAGATTTGACAGGACACCTAACACTTATCCTATGTATCTATCATGCCTTGGAATAACCTGCCTGTCAAAAATTGTATCACGTACAAGGAAATAGAGAGGAAACAAATGAGACGTAAATTATTACCTTATACAGTTCAAGACATTCTTGTAGTGAACTATTTGTTCGTGTACATAGATTTACCAACGATCACGTGATGAAATTCATTATCATCATTTATAGCCATAAGAAACAATTAGCCCATGACTTGTTAACAGTAATGTCCCATTTATTAACTTATATATTCAGTGATATACAATTAGTCTGTTTATTTCCCAATATACCTTATAAACAAGTCTATTTGTCCTCGTATATAATCCGTGAAATGTATTACTCTATTTAATGCAGTATTAATGCAGACATCCAATAAACCACAAATTGTGTATTACTTATCATATATAATGTGTGAAATTAATTAGTCTATTTGTTAACATAAGTAGTCTTATGATCAAACCGACTATTTTTTATCATATGTGAAATCCCGTGAAAAACTCTTTTCCTATATAACGCATCAATCTCAACTGTTTAGTAAAATAAGGGACTGTACTAGGCTACTATTACAACATGAAACTACATATTGATTATGAGTTTACGGTTAACTGTCACATTAAACATCAACTTAAAATAATATAATTTCATTTCCTTCTCTAACCTCGAGACACAGTTTCTTATAAAACATTTATCCTTCAGATTATTTATTGCTGTTACCTAACTTCAGAATTCAGATACATGCTAAGTTATTTAGTCTCTAATAGTGCCTAAAAGGGATATCAAACGTAAATAAAACAAATATCGTCAATATTAAGGCCAAGCGTAACTAAATAATATTTGACTAAGAGAAAAAATTAACAGTGCCACCAACACAATGATTCCAAATAAATTATGGAAACCACCCACACTCGCCAATCACTACCCAAGCTTTATAATCTCCCGAAACTTATTGCTACAAACTTATTTATTACTGTCTCAGATTTAATATTTGTAATGATATTTTGTTCATTTTTATACCACTGTACAATATCACATCTGTGAAAAGTGAGTTCCATTATTATTAAGGTATCAAATCAGCTCAACATTACTTGTGTTATTAAATTTTCAATTATATGTGCTTTTCTATTCCAATTGTATATATAGCCTAGATATGTAGTTACAATTGTGTATCATTTAATACTATGACAGACGTGATCAAGAAATAAACAATCTCTGATTATATAAACTCCTGTTCAGTTTAAATAACACCAAACAAAAACAAACGAATGATCCGATATCATTAAACACATTTTTTTGAAAAATCGTATATTTACACGAGTGTACACTAAGACAAACCCTTTTGCATATGTACATGCGTGCTTAGTCTTAACATTTAACATGTGTACGTGTTCACACAACAAAGAGGTGCAGGAAATAGTATGTTTTTAGAACGAGGTTTATCGAAATGGGTAAAATGACGAAATGTTGCTTGTAAATCATAGTGCAGAAAACTCGCGAGAATAGTTGAGAATAAATCCATCAAACGCTACTTCATGTGACGCGTCCTATAACAAAACACTTATCTATATATATATGTCAGCTTTACTTGTCAGGTAATGACATATAGTCCACCACAGCTAAATCATCAACTGGTCAGTTATGCGAGAAGTGACGTGTCCAGTTATACATTGTACCATATATACTCGTTACATATTTGTTCACAGGTAAAACGGAATATTAGACCGAGACAAGCTACATTTACCTAGTCTTGACTAATCATGATTTGCGCATAATAATCCGGAAATGCAATTTGGTGCAACTGTTCATTCTTATATTTAGCTATTATGATTGATAGGAATATTTATGTGATGAGAGTTTTCCATATTGTGAAATTATTATCGATCGTATATATATCGCCATAAAGTTACATTTAACTTTCAATTACAATGACTTCCACATGGCTTATTTATCTGATCAAAGGAGAGAACTCTTTTATTCAGGAAGTCATGGATCATGGGTGTAATCTATATGAATAATGACTATTAACATCTGTAAGGCAGTAAGCGAAATTATGTTGTCTTATTTTTTCATTTATATTAATATTATTATAACATTATTTTATAGTTATGTTGGATAACATTTTAAGTCGTAAGTAAAAAGATTTTTTAAGGAAAAAAGGGTGTGTTCAAAAGACAAACAAGTTATCATGAACTTGTTTGTCTTTGTACAATCCTTTTAATACAACTTGAGTATTTAGAGTAAACGGCATAGTGGCCAAATGATTGATTAAATTGTACAGCACAGCTGTTTCTTGCTTCTTGGACTCGTCGGTAATACGAAGGACCTAAATCGTGAAGCCTAGGATGCGGATAAGGACAATCAAAACATTCAGATCTATCTTAAACTACTTAAATAATTTACATATGTTCAAATTCATTTCCACGAAAACTGTTTATCTGATTGATTACATATCTGCTTTGTTTTGTATTTAAAACATACCTTTAAATCTTTTGAAGACGTACTCTTTGTATATGTCGCTATTGTAGAAAAGGCTGTAGGATCAATCGGATTTTCGATACTGACTCCATGTGTTTCATGTGAGGATATTTTCATAGTCGATGACGATTTCAAGGCGTTAATGGTATAACTTTCAGCTGTTGACGAAATGGTTGGCTCGACGGTTTTAATCCCTACAGTGCTTGAATAGTTTTGCGGTTTTGTAGACCACAAACCAAAGAATACACTTGTTTTAGTTTGATCACTTGATGTTTTTCCCTGAGATGTATCAGTTGTTGGTTTTATAGAAGGTACAACCTCAATAGTGCTGGATTCTTTCACAAGATTGTTGTCTACCAAAAGGGGTGATTTTGTTTTATGTACAGGTATTGATGTGGTTGTTAGATATGGAACCAGAGGAGAATCATACAAATCATGTTGTTTTCCTTGCACATGATAGCGTTTGCTAGAGGGCGGTCCGCTTTTAAGTGAGTCTAATGGCAACGTGGACGGTGTCACTTCAGTTGCAGTAGTCAATAATGTTTTTAAACCTGGTGTCATTGTTGATTCTGATGGGGTTATCGGTGGTGTAGTGGATGTTGGGATTGTTGTTTCAACTGTCGTTGTCATTCTACTACCTTGAAGCTCTTCTTTGGGACTCATGTCGATTGTGTTTCCTTTATTCATTCCATCAGTTAACTCGATCATACCGAAACTTTTTGGCGAATCAGTTGTTTCTGTTCCAGTGGCAGGGATTTGATTCAAGTTAATTGGAACCCCTGCTTGAAATCCAGATTGTTTTAGAGCATCCATCATTTCTTGTAAAGCTGGCGGTATAACGTTTTTGTTCTTTCTGACAACGGGTTGCTCTGACATAGTGGTTACTGTTGCTTTATTTGTTGTTTCCTTGGTAGTGTCCGTCATGGTAGTCTTAGCGACACTGTTGTAAGCTGTAGGAGTTCGTGTGTCGGATGTGGTACTGGCGATAATATTCTGCTTACTCGCAGATACTGGGGAGCTTTGTCGTCGAGTAGATGAAGATGAGGCCGTTGAGGAAAGAGTAGATGTGGACGTAGCGGTTGTCATTGTCTCTGTGGTTTGTATTGGTAGATATTTTGATCTAATGATGCTGAATGCATTGATATCAAATATTCTCATTGGTTGCTCCTCGGATAGTTTTGAAGTAATTACTGGTTCAGTTGCGTTGTTTTTTTCAGAAGTACTTCCTTTTCCTGTATTAGTTGCCGCTTCCGTTGTTGACATAGTCTTGTTATTAACAGGGATCTGTTCTGTGACAACATTATTTCGTGTCGGGATTAAAAACATATTGAAATTAGCAATTGTTCCATTTTCCAATGATGTTACGTCCTTGCTCGGAGTAGGAGTCAATTTAGTGACGCTTTCCTTTCTGAGAGGACTTTCTGTCGTGAATATAGGCTTACTACCTATAACATACCTAACTGGTTTTGGGTTAAATGGGGAAGCTATTACGGCACCTTTAGAAATCGGGATTGTAATATCATTTTTGCTCGCATGTGGAAATTTCGCTTTAACTTTTCCAGAATTCTCACCTTTACCGGAATTATTTTCATGTCTTGTACTTTTCTTGTAGCCATTATCGTCATCAAATCGTGATTTTGATATAGACACATGATCAATTATAGATTGGTCTGGTCTGGACGATATTCCCTGGTTCTGTGGACGTAACCACGTCATTGATACATAATTACTAGACACGTCCGTCGACTTTTCTAAGTCTGAAGTTTTTGTGTAACCATTGGAGTAAGCTTGCCCTTGCACAACGTCTACAGACTCTGCATCGCTCCTAGTAGGTTGCACCGACGGCAAAATTAAACTCGTTGTGCTTGGTTGTGGCCAGTCCTGGAGCAATGGACGCTGGCTTGGAGCTATACGTAATCCTAAACTACTAGCGGCTGGTCTCATATTGACCCCAATAATAGGCCTTTTCGATCGTATGGGATTTCCCAATGGGCCCATATTTTGTCTTCTAGAAGGTAAGGGTGACGCTCTATTTGAAGATAGTGACTGCATTTTTGAATTAATTTTCTTTCTAATTGGTACTGACGATGACATCGCTCTAACAAGTGGACCCGTAGGTGGCAATGACGACCAAGACTGTTTCAACGCTTTAACTGGCAAGGCTGTCGCGGCAATGTTACCATTGAGTGGCATAGATGGTCGTTTTGAAGTTACAAGTAATCCCCCAGGTAATAACGGTATTGATTTATATCCAATAGGACTTTGTCTTGGTTTTCCCAAATGCTGCATTTCTGCCACCATGATGTTTCTTGTTGTCGGCATTGGGCGTTTGGTAGGATTCAATCCTGGTGTTGGTATGATGCGTCGACCAGGAGGTGGGCTAGGTCTTGCGGGCATGATTTGATTTGGTTTCATATGTTGTCTTCTTGGTGGCTTTAGCCTGTTGTGTTGTTCTGGGGTTTGGTCTGGTCTCAAGGGTCTTCTTGAGTTCGAAATTAAACCATTGCTTTGCCTTTGAGTTGGTTTTGATAATCTACTTTGACCATTGACAGACTTTGGTTTCATGTTTTGTCTTGATATTTTCCTCAATTCCATACGTTCTACAGGTGGTGTCATGATACCTATCGAATGTCGTAGATGCGCCATTGGCTCATTATGCCGTCTTGTACTGATCTTACCATTCTCCTGCATCTTTTTGGCCTCTACTTGCACAGTCAACGGGTGACGTCTTGGATCACTTATATAGATAGGTGGAATAGGTGAACGATTAAATCCTGGGGTCGGCTGTTCCCCGTTGATACTTGTTGGACGAGGATTGCTCTGCTTCACAATTTGCAAATTATCTGGTGACATCACTGTAGGACGTGGTGACGGAAGGGGTGCTTTATTGATACGCACTGGGTTATTAACAAACTGTCGGCTCTGCGGAATCTCAGCAAGCCCACTTGTTACTATTATTTGATGACGCGCATGGCCGCTTTGAAGAGGTGGTTCACTTCTTCGAGTTGGGCTTAGTTGTGGCATTACACTTGGCAAAAGGTGTCCATCTTGAGGTATTCTAACTGGCAAAGTGCTTGGCAAGGAACGCGTGTACTCTTTGTTTGTTGTGGTATGTTGCCTATTCATTCCAATGCTATTTTCGTTAGGAGTCAATGTCATCATGTTTTCAAGGACATCAGGCGATGACATTGCCCCATTACTCCACTGTCCGTTGGTTAAAGTTAAAGCACCATCACTACTGAATGTTTTGAGACCTCCTTGTTCCCCAGCAGTGTTTCTCTTGGGTTTATTAAGGTCGTTACTGTTTGCTATTCCTCCAGCCTTTCTGCTGTTTATTGTCTGCTGAAACATTCTTGTATTTTGTCTGCTGATGACTTTATTAGAATTTTGAGGAAACGTGGAATGAACAGTGTTTTTATTATTATTGATATTTTGAAACTGTCCTCCATTTTGCTTTATGTGATTGCTGTTTCGTGGATGGCTGTTTATCGATGGTTGTCTTTTGTTTACATTATTGCTGTTAAGCTGAAAATATTGACGACCTGTTTTGCCATTCAAATTGTTGCGTTGAGGCTTCTTTTTTGAAGGTTCATTTCCCCGGGTATTGTCTTGCTGTCTTGCTGGGTGTCCATTTATCATATAGATATATTCATCACTCCTATATACTGGTCCTTGTCTGGCATTGTTATCAAATCCCTGACGATTCATGTTTCTTTGCCACTGACCCGGTCTCTTTCCATTTGATAACTGCATCCAACCAGGTACCTCAAATGGTTTAGATACTACGGCAGATTCTACTCTGTACTGTGGTTCTGGCGTGGTAGTGGGTAGATATTCCTTAACTGTTAAATTGTCTTTTTTCGGAATTTCAATTTTAGGTAATACAGGCATACTAAACGATGGGGATATTTGCAAGACGGATCGAGGCACTGCTTCTCCTGGACGATTTCGAAAAGTATTTCCAGTTTGGCGTTCAAGGAACTTGCGTATTATTCTCTGTTCCATCTCCCGTTCTAAATTTTGACGAAAATTAAATGCATTTGCGGAATCACTGATTACCATACTTTTCGTTTTGTCTTTTTGTCCCTCTGAGGTAGAGTTTCTAAAGAAACCTGCATTTCGAAGTCTTCTAAAATTGGTTTGTGGTAAAGAACTTCTCCTTTGAGCAGTTATATTGTTTGAATAACACAATGTTATCACTAGTATTGCATAAATCGTCGAGAAGTAATCCATTTTGTTTCTGAAATTTGACAATGAAAAATGTTAGCATGTTCTTTAAAAACATTCTTTAGTCGTACACAATAATATCTCCATTAGTAAAAACAATATCAATAACATCATTTAACATAAACTATGTTGTGTATCTGTTTGTATTTGTTGAATTCCTTGTGTAACATTTGAAATTAAATATATAAATGGCAATAATTAGGAAAACAATGAAGAAAAACAAACATGGAATTATGTTTCCTGGCATACTGGTATCGATATTCACGAACGCCTGAAGATATGTCTTATTTTTGTATTCTTAAACTCTACTTTAATCTAATTCTTTGTAGTAAATATCCTGTTTTCAGTTATACGGAAGTATGAATATTCTGGTATTTTGAGGCGTATAGTCTGTTATGCATCCATAATATAACGACTACCGGGAACGTTGTGAATTAGATGTGTTGGAATCCAGATTTGTCTTGTAAAAGTAAATTTATGTCCTTATTTGTACCATAATATTGGTAACGTCGTTATATATTTTGAATAAAAGTGTTATATCTAACGTGCAACTTAATCTCTGAAAACATGCAGCTACGCTTAATTACAGAAGGGGCTAAATGTCAAGTTACATAAAAGTTTGGCAAGGATATACACCTTGTGAATAAATATGTATAGCACATGTTATATATAAAGTCTGCGTTTCGTCTTCACACAATATATACAGTACCAACGACGACGTTATTGTATATACAACGAACTGTTCAGTTAGTGTATGCTTAAAACGGGGAGTAAAAGGTCATCTTTCCAATGTATTTTATGACTGAAATCATAAGTACAATGTGCCTTTGATAGGTACTTGTTTCCCTAATAAATTACTTTTCGGAGACTTAAACATGTCATAAACCATTCTGGTACTTTTGGTATGTTTATGAGAACCTTACTTAAAAACAATCATTGATTAAAACTTCTTGATTATGATTTCATTTATTTCACATATTTCCTTGAAGACCTAATATATTTTCACAAACATGTAAAATGGATAGATGAAATAAACTTTCTTATGAAAAGCATATGCAGGAGTGTCCATAAAAATTAAAACTGACAGAAATAATATAACAATGGCCATATTGTTAAATGGCTAATTGATAAAGGATAATGAGATAAACTCTTACCTTTCAGGTTGCCGGGACTGTTTTGTACATCCTGTGTCCTCTGCTTACATACTTAATAAGGCCACACACTGACCGTACGGTATCGGTGACCTGACACGGTATATTGGCGATGGTCACACTGGATAGTGGATAGCGCAGTGTTATCCGTCATTAAGGCATACTGTCTCCAGATTGTTATATGGAGATTAATGTCCGTAAGCCTAGCTGTACATGACGCACCTCGTAGCCCGCTTACCATCCATTCACAGCAAAAATAAATACACGTGCTGAAACTAATTACTAATTACCGTAACCTAGTGTAACTGTTTCATAACGATCCCCGCTTAATGTTTGCAAATTCCAGCAATCATTCATATACTATTATAAAAAAAACTATGTAAATAATGATACTTCAAATGGAACCCCGGATTAACATTAAGGGAGACATTTTATAATTTTTCCTCAATCTAAAGAATATCGTTTAGTTTTATACCATACAACCTAATAAAGGTTAAGAATGTGTTTAGTTATTTATAGGGACATCAAGAGGAAGGGGCGATAAACATGTCGTTTACAACATATCTACGTCCAATCACAGTTATTATTATGTATATATACAATAATACATTCATGATAATACAAATATCAAGTTAGTAAATCCTACCTAGACCAAAGTGAGATACTTATTTAAATCGTGTCGCGGAGTCGTGATTACGACGTTACGGTATAAATCTTCGTGTAGCCAGTCTACATTAGCATTAGAATTAACGCTAACTGTACTTATGAATAAGTTTTGCTGTCACAAACATCGTTAAGATGGAGTAGGTTTCCACTATGACAAAGTTATTGTGTTTTCCATAATTGGTTTCATAATGGAACGTCAACTGTATCATAAAAAAAAATCAAAATTCTTGTAAAAGAGGATTTCATAAAGTGAACAGCATTCGATTTTAATTGCTGCAATTTAGCAAAGGCATTGTGATGGTATCGCGTTCGATGGCGGAAATGATAACTGTTTGGAGATATACAGTACTGCTACCTTTGTTTCAAGAACCTCAACATTGTAGTGTTGTTTACAGTCATGATTCTTTTAATATACTTACATCTAGATTTAACATCTACTTTATTTCAGGATTAAATAAGTGAAAATCTGGCGTAACGGTCATGTCATTAATATCCTCAGACACACGTGTAATTACATTATTATGACGTTATAAATAAGTCATGTCTTGATGAAGTCTCACTCTCATCTAGTATGTGAAATACGTGCGGCCGAGACGGCAAAAAAGTTTGTCTGATAAAGTATTTAATTTCATTTCCTTTGTAATTTATTACACGAGTTTAGTAAGTTGATATCTACATTTAATTTTCAGAACAATGATATTTAACGTATATGTCATCTATCAATATTATTGGAATAGATAAATTATATTATGTCTGCTGAACCTTCCCAAATATATTTAAATTTCACTTCTATAATATGAAAAATTGGCCTGCCTTTCAAAAATCAAATAGTTCAAAGGAACAAGCAAGTTCACATATACATATCTAACACGTATATCTTCCTAAATTTATGCTTTATAATACAGCTCATGCATTAATCATTCTCTTGATTAGGGATTCTGTTATAGACAATTACTGCGTTATAACGATCAAAGGGTACTAACCCCAAAATTCACAAAAAACGCAGAACATTTTCATCAAAGTTACATAACAAAGTAATTTAAGATATCATTTCTAAAACAAAAAAAAACTTTGATATTGATGTGCGTACTTCCAGCATTTTACCCATGTTTTAAGATAGCTTTAATGCAAATGTACAGATGTTTTTCTTCCTAAAGGAAATATATGTAGTCTAATGATCAATCACGTCCCCATTGCTCTCATGCTGCAGGCCTTATATAACAAGCCGAATAAACCCCTTATAAATATGAATAAATATGATGTATGATCAAGTATTTAAAAGCGAAATGCTAAACAGGCCTTACTTTCTAATTACTATGTATTAAAGGAAGCTGCATGATTTATTTGTTAACGTTTATATGATACCTATATAGACAGATATACGAAACGATCGTCAATTTTTATCAATTGGTGTCACGAAGGTCGATCTATGGAACATTGAACATGTTCGGATATGATATTAATCATCACGATGAAGCATACGCTAAGAAAATCTATTTTCTTTTGGACAAATGTAAGACTACTTGAAATCTTAATCTATTGTTGTTATTTTAAACTCACTACTGGGATTTCAAATAGGAACTATACGTGAAAAGTCATACTATTAATTATTTGTGGTATTTGAGGACTTTTCATTGAAGAAAATAAACATGTTGTGTGAAAATTTAAATGAGACACATGCTGTTTTTGTATATCTTCAATTGTTTTGGTATATCTCATTTTAGTTTTGAAATGCATGTAATTTTTTTAAAGATCTACAGCTGATGTAACTAAAGAGTGCCGCTATTAGACAGTAGATGACAAAGATAAAGTATTGGAATATTATACACTTAATAGATACATTGTACTTGATGGCATAGAAAAGTACGATGCCAGAACTCAGAAATACTGAAAATTTATATTACATTGTTTGTTGCTGTTAAATTTATGAATAATTGTGAGTCATTCGCAAAGCTGTTGAATTTGTCCTTGAGGTGGAAATCGTCATGAGTTTTTGCTCATATCGAATTGTTTAAGCAGTCTAATATTTTAATTGAAAGGGAGACATTGCAATAACATGTTTGTTGACGTTGCGGATTTGGCCTCAGAAATATATAGCAACTCTGACAGAAAACGTTACGGATCGGTTCCAAAATTAGCAAATCCATTCTGACGATAGATTATTCCTAAATGTAGATATACTTGTATTGTTTCAACATTAGTCACCATACATAATGTGATGCATGTTGCTTTTATACTGGTCTCCGTTTCCAAATCATCAAAAGTCAGACTCTTGACAGTAACGAGAAAGTAGTTATTAATGAATATGCGTCATATACGAAGGACATAATGCTGAGGACAAGTTGTTGCCAGTGGAAGAATGTGAAGAGTTTATGTTCAACTTATCACCGGATGATGTTCAGATCGAGTCCATACAACAAGAGAACGACAACATCAGCTTCACCAAAGAAAGACGTCCAGTTTCATGATATACAAAGAGAGTTTGTAATATGGTAAATTTACGTAAACAAAAATAGCTTACCGGCACCTGTCAATTTCAAGGAAAAGCAAGACCTATCCTACAAAATTGATAATATATTAAAATATCATGTTGTGTTATCAAGAAAAGCATGCAATACAATTTTTAAGTGTGATTTGGCCTGTAAATGTATCAGAAAAAAATTCTATCCAGATAATACTCTATGAGTTAAGCGGGGTATTCGAGTTCATGAAATGTAACTTCACATAAAAACAAAAGAATTTGAGAGGAATTTCAAGAAAACAACATAATTTCTGGTATTTTGGTATTTCCACCCTAAAGCAGTCATTAATTGAAGCCAATCTATAGCTGAAATGCTCACAGGTGAATGAACGAAGATAATGTATTGCTTAAAAGCGAATGTTATTGGAGTGTCTTTCTGACAATTGAAATATACATTAGATTGTTAAGATAATTCGATATAAGTCAGAACTCACAGCCAG